CTGTGGTGGCGGCTGTGGCAGCGGCTAAGTACCACACGCGAGTTAATCGTTAATCGATCGAAAGCAATTTGTTTGCGCTCACGTATGAGTCGAAGAAAAGGAGGTCCACGCGGCTGCTTTCTCGTGGTGAAGACGAGGCAAGAACGAATTGGCTCGTATAAGGAAGTCGCTGTCAACTCGAATGTGTGATTGAGATACCCAAGCAATCGGGCACCAATCAGTAGCTCAAAGCAACGCGCTCGTTGATGTAGACCTTGCCCGCGGTCACTCGACGCCGGTCGTGGCTGCATTGTGGGCTTCAACAGCAACACCCATGTACGTCCTGCACACGACTCTGTTCTCGCACGACGGTCGTCCCCTGGATGAGATCCGCTGCGCGCGATGCGGCTTCATGGCCCCTTCGACCCCTGGATATGCCAGCTCTTCGCGATCGTCTGTCCAACAACAAGTACGCCGACGCTCGCCACACGGCGACTCTGGTTCGATTGCCCGACAATGTGCTCTCAAGTATGGTAACTTGGCTCTCCGCACGGTGGCGGTTCGCATTGCTTCTTGGCTCCAACTCGTTTGCACGTGCTGAGAACAGCGAGCACATCCCCACCGTTTACAAATCGTATGCTCCGCGTCTACGTACCGCTCACGCTCGTCAGCTCTCCATGGGATCCTCCAGGCACAAGTGATCACAATGCTGTAGCCAAGGGTCCATAAATGCTTGATTGTATTGACCTGTGTTGAAGTCCACCATCGAGTGTGTGTCGTGCGTCGATTATCCCAAACTCGCCGAGTCGCTCGTTATCAAGGGCTCGTTCGCATGGATAGGCTGCTCCAGTCGCAGAGAAACGCTAGCGCGGGTGGCTGTGTACTTCTTTGGCACGCCCCCCAGCTGCATGCGCCTCGGTCGGGCATGTCCGTTGAACTAACGTTACTCGGCGCTGAGAAGAAATATCTTTCTCAATGCGATACTTCACATTCCGACGTGCATTCCAGGCAAAGTTTCCCGGCAAAGCATCCATGTTTCTTGATGATCCATACAATGACCACGTATAATGTCTCGTTGGCATTTTGAATGGGCGTTCGTAAGTCAATGTTTTCGCAAGGAGCTGCTTGCTTGCCGCCTTGTGATCCGACGGAGCCTTGGGTGATCTTAAGGTTGTCAATCGAAGATTGGAGCGCGCTGATTGGCGCGATCGATCAATGTCCGCTTGACCGATTGGCTCGCCATATTGCACTATTGCACGAGTGCACAACGTCAGTTGGCAACTTGCAGCACGGGCCAAGAGACGCCAATGGCGCTCACCCGCGCCGAGTCCATCATGATAACCTCCTACGTCGTGGACCTCGAGGTCAAGGAGCGTGTTCTTATGGTACCCAAGTGGGCGGCGCGCCAAGTCGTGCTCACGGGCCAAACCCTCGAGGTCATGGACGGTGAGAAGCTCAAGTTTGCGTGCAACATGACCTACTGCACGACGCGGTTGCTCGAGCCGCTTGACTCGAATCGCTTCTTTCCGTTTCAGCTGCTCGAGCACGGCAAGGTCAAGGTGACACTCAATGCACCGACGGCGTCGGCGCGCGAGGATTTTTTGTCGCACTTGGAAAAGTCGGTCGTCTCGGACACGTGGGCCGTCGAGACGAAGGACACGTGGGACACTTTTCTCTCGGTCGCGGTCGCCATCAACGAGAAGAAGGCGCTTGAAGGCAAATTTCGCATCAAGCCCTCCAACGTCTCGATCCAGCAAGTGACGCTGCACATGCTCGAAATGAAGAAGGTGTATGACGTCGTCGCCGGCCTGCCGAATGTCGACAGTCTCTACGAGCTCTTCTTGGGTCTCGAGCGCGACTACAGCAACGGCGTCTTGGGCAACTTTGCGCACACTGTGCATTTGCTGCACCCTGTCTTGTACAGCAAGGGGGTTAAATCTGGACCCCCACTCGTCGACATTCTCACGCGCTGTCCCCGTGCATCGTGCGGCGCGGCCCTGCCCTTGTCCATGGTGTACCTCATGCACATTCGGAGCCAAGCTATCAGCTGTCCAACCTGCGGCCACCGCATCCTCTACGAGACGTACAACCTCGCGGCCTTTGTGGCCAAGCACCAGCGGTTCAAAGTCTCCACCACACTGCACGGTAGCCGCGTCGAGTGCGACGTGACCGTCCTAGCCGTGCCTCATGACGGCACGTGGGCAACATTTCTGGTCCAGCTGCAGCGAGAAATCGCTGCCGGCGCCTCGAAGGTAAGCCGAGAGGGCGTTGCAACCATCCGCTCAGAGATCCGCGATGCGGTCAAGGTATACCGTCAGAACATTCTCGGGCGCTTCCACCTCGACTTGGTTCAAGGCATGTTCCGGCAGCTCGACTTTGTCAACAAAATGTGCCCGCATTTCGAGTACTGGAGGCATTCCGTTGTGGTCGCCGCTTCGATCACGCGCTACGACAAGTTTATGCACCTCGTGACGGTCAAGGACCGCGGTGTGATTCTCGTGCCGACGTCGGACATTGACTTGGTCTGGCACACGCACCAAACGTCGCCGATCAAGTACGCGGCTTTCTGCAGCAACCTGATGTCGCGCAAGACGCTTCTGAACCACGACGACACGATCGAAGCCGGCGACATCGCCAAAGGGTATGCGGACACCTTCGTGCTCTGGTCCCAGACGTTTGGCGAAGCGTACTCGAGCTTCCCGCCAAGCTACGAGGCGTGGGTCAAAGACAAGTCGACCGACCCGATCACGCGTCTCGTGCTGCGTAAAAAGTGGGCCAAGCACGGCGCCGTGCCCGCCAGAGACAATCGGTTCTTCGGCGTCAACGAAGCGTACCCGGTTGACGCGATGCCGTATGCGGCCGCCGTCATCGCCGCCAACGCGACAAAGCCCGAGGGTGACGCGCCCTTGCCCGTCTACGTCACGGTGCTTGGCACGCCCGTCATGGACGGCCGCGTGCGCCAGCCGTACTCGCGCCACACCGTCTTGATGTACGACGCGGGTCTTCCGTACTACTACATGCCGCACATGTTCGTTGGCGGCTGCGGCGGCTACGGCTACTACGGCGTCGGCGGTGGCTGTGGCGTCTCGGGCGAGGCGTACGGGGGCTGTGGCACGTTTGCCGGCGATGGCAGCTGCGGCGCTGGTGGCTGCGCGACAGGCGGTTGTTCGACGGACCGTGGCTGTGGCGGCTGCAGCGGTGGCGGCTGCTAACGATGAGCCGAACTGTCTTTGCCGGCGAATCGCTCCACACGAACTGACATGGAAGAAGTGTACCTGATAATGGCTATAACATGCATTGTGGCTTGATTCGTGTCTTGGTCTGTGCTGCACTGGGCGACTCCACTACTGACGACAGGCCTCGTTTGTTTGGATAAATTAATAGATAGATAAATAGATAGATAGATAGATAGATAGATAGATAGATAGTGAATCGCATTAATCGGCAACGACTGAGCGCACAAGTCGCCGCACGGAGCCAGGATCTTGTCAGGCGGTGTATTACCGGGATTACCACTATGGGTTTCTTTTTCTATGTGGTCCATCGTCAAGCTACTTGATCGACCAGCAGCGTCCGCGGTCGAGAGCCAGACCCGTGTTGCGGGGTTCCGCTTGGATGCGACCGTGGGCCGACCTGGAGCTGCAACACCCGAAGGTACCCGGGGGCGCTTCCTTGAACTCGCGGGCTATGGAAGTCGTTGGCTTGGCAACCGACGCGAAATGTCGGGTGGTCGGTCTGATGTTGATGAAGTTGAATGCTCGTGGTGCCGACACTGGTCGAGTTGTTTTGTTTTGGCGTCTTGGTCGGTCGTCGTATATGAAAGTGTTTTCGTTTTGGCGCTGGGCATGTTGAGTTGTTTTTCTTCTATAGGCGTGGAGCTGGGCGGTTGGCTGGATGCATTTGTTTTCGTTTTGGCGGCGTGGCGCGTTGGATATGTTTTCTTTGTTTGGGTCGATGTCTTGGGTTTCGGGGTCGGATGATATGGATCTTGATGCTGAAGGTTGATGGCTGATGGCGGTGGCGGCGGCGGCTGGCTGATTTGTGCTCTGTGCTCTGTGCTCTTTGCTCGGTGCATGTTGGTTCTGCATGACGAAGCGATAGTTGTCAACGGACGAGCTTCCGGGTCCAAGAGGCTCGCCTGCATGTTCAGGCGCGGGAGCTCGCGGCATGTTTATGGGAACACCACCCTCGCGAGTTCAGCCAAGCCACGGATGATTTGTCCAAGCTCACGCCTGACGACTCTAACTCCTACGCGCATCCTGACGACGGATCGCATGTCTTGCAGTCAGGCGACGAACTCCTGCACGTTGCAGAGCTGTTGGCCGCCGACATTCGGCACACTTCTATTATAGTACGTATATCATAGTTGGTGGAGTCTTGCGTCTGTGTAAAGATTTCAAACCATATCATATGAGCTAACGAACGAGACACGGGTCCTTGGTTTTGACGGCGCGGTGTCGAGATCACTCAATCCGAACTTGGTGAGAGCGATTTCCGTTGGTTTGTTCCATTAACGGTGTCTGAGAGCAGTCCAAAAGCGAGTCGGCAGCGCCTCGGCCATTCGATGTATCGTGGCGACACGTCGTCTCCACGCTGCGAAGACATGGTATGTTGTGGTGACGACAGCGCAATCCGAATACCCAAAATTCCAAGCAACCTTTCTTGTCGCCACAAGCATCATGCAGGTACAAGAGGATCGATGCACTACTGGGAGCAGTCGCATCTCTGTCTGCGTTTGGCGCGTGCAACCCTGCAGGCATGTCCCGCGTCGTCCCGCGCGCGCCGAACCGTCGACCAAATTGTACGCCTACATCGCGCCTGCATACAATTTTGGAGTATAAAATGTACGTGTACGACGTACGGCGCACTACTCTTCTGCCATTGTTTGTGCGGCCACGGGGATTCGAAGTTGCAATCGTGGCGCGCTGTCGAAGCTTCGTTTGGAATTCGGACCAATCGTCGTCCTCGGCCGCTGCAACCTTCGTTGCGGACGCGGGACAACCTTATGCGAACATTAGGCGGTCAGCGGCATGGACCACGCAAATCTACGGTCGAGTACGTAGTTGTGAATTTACCGCTTCATGAGCGTGTCCCTCCACGAGCTCTTGTCCAATGCAGCGGACATGGCGCCATCGGTGCTTCCAAAGCGGGGAAAGATGCCGCCCAACGGCGGCCGCTGGTCGGACATTGAGCATGGCCTCTTTCTCCAAGGCGTCGGGCTCTACGGAAAGGACTGGCGGCGAATTGCACGGCTCGTACAGACACGCACGACCGTCCAGACCCGGTCGCACGCCCAAAAGCACTTTGACCGACTGGAGAAGGAGCGAAAAGAAGGGAAAACTGAGACGCTACCGGTGGCCAAGCCCGCAAAGACTGCCAAGACGACGGCCAAAGGCAAGACGAAGCGCGTGCTGGCGCACCTGGCCATGGGCCCGCCCCAGTTTTGTCTGCCAATCGACGACCCGAGCGCCGGGTACAGAGAGCCCACCGAGGTTCCGGCCTATGCAACGAGCAGAGGGGACCTCGACAAGCTCCTCGACGACATCCCCGTGCACGATTTCCTCGCGCTGCTTGCGTCCGAGAAGGACCGTTCGCTCATGGACGGCTTTGATTTTTCGAGTCTCGACACGGCGGCACCGGTGATGGACGCGCGGCTCACGACACCAACGACGCTCATGCCGTCGTCATGGACGCCATCGCTGTCGCCACTGCACCGGGATACGCCGAGTCGCTTTGAAGACGAGTTCTGTTTATAAGGCTCTGCGATCGCGTTGCTAGTTGTTTTTAAGTGCGTGCGAATGGAGGTCGTGTGTGGCGTAGTGTCTGGTCGACGCTTGCATTGGTTTCGGCAAACACTTGACGCCGTTGCAGCATGCTGCGCTCAATCGACTCGAGCGCCTTTCGTCGCATGAACGGTGATTGGCTCGGGACGCCGCGCACAACATTCTCCAATTGCACTTGAAGTTTGCGAGCTCGGGAGGGCACGCCGCGCGGGGTCACCGTAGTCTCGGTCGCTGGTCTACACGCATCATCCTATGTTAATTCTCCTGTCATTCTGCGCATCGCGTCGCACCGATCGAGCGTGGGTGGACGAATGACCACTTGTAGCATCGCCGTGGGGGGCCGCCGTTCCGTGTCCTGGATGGCGCTGCTTTGCGGTGTCTCAAGGCCGTCGCGAACCCCTTCCTACGCAAGTTTTCTATAACGTCTACTGCGATAGAAGACGAGTTGTTTTTGGACTACCGTTGCAGTCGAGTACGTCACAAGCGTGTCCATGCAGGCGTTCCAAGCACGTTTCTGTTCGCAGCGAAGAGCGCGGTGCGTGTCGGAGAAGCCCGCGCGCTTGCTAACCGAGCGCTTCCGGAGCTGCACCAGCGCGTGCTCGACGCTATGGGACGTGTGCATCTCGAGCGAGAGCACGTCTTCCATGCGCTTGAGCCCCAAGCACTTGAGCACGCACTGCCACTTGTTCCAATTGATGCGTGCCTTGATATCGGCGAGCGTCGTCGCGTAGCCATGCACGAGCTCGTGGACTCGGTGTTTCGAGAGCCCGAGTGTTGGTTGTTGCACTTGATTGAGGCACAGCGCCGGCATCTCTGCGCCGAAGCGGCGCCCGACGCTTGCCAGGAGCTCGTCTTCCGGTGCCACCTGCAATTAATTCGTCAAAACTCAATCGACATAGTTCTCGCACCAAAGGCATGACGGACGCGCCTTCAAGAACGTAATGCGGTAGCGTTGTATGCGGTGGGGCCTCGATCGCTGTGGGCTCCATCCAGTCGCGTTCCGACACCTAGGATACTATCGTGATGCCAAGACCAACAAGTAACAGTATGCGGACTTGAGTGTGGCCATCGCGCATGCTCGGTGGCGCGTACTCGATGGGCGGCGGTGTCATGGGTCGCTCGGCAACGCTCGGCCGCGCCATGAGGGTCCGAGGCACGAGCTTGGCGTCGGGTACGGGGGCAGCCGCGGGTGGCGGCGCCACGTCAACAGCAACGCTGGTCACCACTGGCGTCACGACGACGGGTACCTCCACGACAGTCGGCAGAAGATCCTCGAGATGGATCGTTTTGATCTCGTCGCAAAGCGCTTGGATGTCGTTGTGGTGTTGCCGCTGGGTTTCTTCGTTTTGCGTCGCGAGCATGAGATACGACGAGCGCGCCACAGCTTTGAGCGTGCGCTGGTACTGCAGCGCACTGCGCCGTCGCTCGTCCTACCCAAGGATTGTAGCACGTGGATAGAAAAAACTCGAGTTTACCGGCTCGTACGTCGAAGCCGACGACGTGTTGATGCTTTTGTAGAAAAGCCGAAGCGCGGCTTGGGCCTTTGCGAGCTGCGCGTCCTTTTCTTCCACGAGGCTGTGGTACTTGGCTTGGATCGTCGCTGCCATTTGCTGCGTCTCGAGCTTGTGGCGGCCCACGAGATTTGCCGTCGTCTCCTCGTAGCGGGCCGCCATATCGGTCCGAAATTGCGCCAACGCCTCGACGTACTGCTTTTGCGCACGCTGCTTGTCCATTTCGAGCTGCATTTGGAGTTCGGTGACGATGCTGAGGCCCGACACCGTCGACAAGTCTATCACATACCACATACCGTAGAAACACCCCGATAGACCAAGATATGCTCGTACTGCGCAGCATGTCGTCCGAGGCCTCGGTGGCTACCGGTTGGATCTCGGGCAGCGCATGCGGCGTGGTCGCGGGCGCCACAAACACCTCGTTGATAAAGCCGTCGACTTGCGTTTCAATGTGAGTTTTTTGCGACGCGAGTGCTGTTCTGCGCCGGTTCAGCAAGACCGAGCGCCGTGGACTGCTCTCCTCGAGCGTGGCGAGCGACGAAGTGTCGTCGAGCTCAATGGCATTTTCATCATTGTCATCGGCGTCGTCGTCGTCGATTTCTTGAAGTGCGGCAAGGGCGAACTCGGCCGTCTCGGGGCGCGGCGGCTCGAGCACAAGCACCCGCGGCTGCGTCAGAAACAATCGGGAGGTATCAATCTCATCGTGTGCGGTGCTGAACCTACACCCACACATCGCTTCTTGATACAAGGTTGATACAAAGCCGTCTTACCCGTGCTCGCCTTTTTGGAGCTCGAAGTGGTTTCGAAATTCCTTTTGCTGTCGCTCGAGCGCCGCCTTGTGGTCGAGTTGGCTCTGGTGGAGCTCGTCTTTCAGTGCCGACACTTTGGCTTTAAGCTCCTTGATTTCATACTCGTATTCGGTAGCCATGTCTGCGCACACGCCTGGGTTCGAAGCGCTCGGGCGACTGGGCCGTTCGCTCAACTGCGCCTGGAGCTCGCGCATCGCACTTTTCTCCAGCACACGCTGCGCTTGGACGTCGTCGAGCTCCTTCTGAATGAGCAAGCTTGTCTCGGTCGCGCCGCGAAGCGCCTGCTGTGTCTTGACGAGGTTGGCGCTTGTGTCTTTCTCCCGCAACTCGAGCGCCTGGTGCTGCTTGCTCAGGGCCATGTACTTGTCCTTCCACTGCGCCGCCGCCTTGTCATTCTCGAGCTTCTTGGTGACTTCCGACTGCTTGATAAAGAGCTCTTGGCGCAGCTTGGCAAGCTCTTCGGTCTTGGCTTGAAGGCTGTCTGCGATTCCTTTCACTTCATCGTCTTTGGCTTTGATTGTGTCAGTCACCGACGTGTACATGCTTGCCGTCTCGTTCAGTTGACCAAGCAGGATGGCTTTTTCATTTTGGAGGCGGTCGATGAGCTTGTGGAGGTCTTCCGAGAACGCGCTGTGCTTGGACGGCGCGTTGGGCGATGCACGCATGCTCTGAAGCAGCGAAATCGTCTGCTGGAAAACGTTTTTGATGCGCCGAATGCCGGGCGCGCACTCGTTTGCGAGCTCGCCCACGACATCGTTCGCGTCGCGGGACATGAGCACCCGCGCTTCGTCCAAGTCCTAGAGCATTCCATGTATGTATCTATCAACTTGATACGTGTGGAACGATGACGCACGTGCATATAAGGCCGCTCGCTAAAGCCCGACATCATCGTCATGGCTTCATGCGTCGCCATGAGGATCTCGCCGACCTTCCACGTCACGGGCATGTACTCGTCCGGGTTGTTGTCATACTCGATCACCGGTCGGTTCATCGCCTCGTCGTAGCTCTGCATGGCCTACGTCAACATAATGAAATAGTAGAAAACCAGGAACGCGGTACCGAGTCGACGCGGCTCTGAATCGATTTGAGCACCTGGAGCTCCTCGGGCACGCGCGGCGTCGCCAAAAAGTGATCTCGCGGCGGCTCCATGCACAAATCGTCGTCAAGCATTATCATGTCGTTGATCGAGCGGTTGGAGCCTTCCCGGGGAATGTGCATGCGAAAGTGAGCATCGTCGGTTGGCACGGGTAGCGCCGACGCGGCCACGTCTCGTCGGAAGTCTGGCTTTCGGTGTCGACTGGCTTTCGGCGGCGGCGCCGACGGCGACACGGGATGGAGGTGGTAGGACCTCCGCCGCAGAGACGGCAGCGCGCGCTCCGGCATGCGAGAAAGGCAATCACGGTTTCACGCAAAAAATAGAGTCGTCCCTCAACCACAATGTGGATGTGGTTCCATTCTGGTGCATTTTTTGGGGATATCATGCAAGTACGAGTCATGTGGAGTATTGGAGCAGCCTTTGGGTACACGTTGATGCATTTTATTGAACATATAAATGCGCTGCTACATCAAGACAGGACACCTATGACAAAAAACTTACACTCATAAGCACTAGGCGCGGTCAAAGACAACGACAACAGTATCCGTGGCTGGCGGGTAGACCCTACATCGCGTATGGTGCATCGCATATAGACAAAGCGACGGCATCATACCCCATCCCGACCCGCGTCTGATTGATGGCGACAGTCGACGCTGGTAGTGAAGCGAAGTGGAGGCCCGGGAGATGCTGCATGAGCAGCGCAATGCACGACTTGAGCTGCGTCTTGGCAAAGAAGCGGCCCGGGCACATGCTAGCGCCGAGCCCAAAGGGGCGCAAGGCACTGCGCTGCGCCTGGGTTGCGTGAACAAACCGGTCAAAGCTAGTTGCAACGCGATGATTTCTGGAGCGCCGTCGAGGGATGCGTACCGAAAGATCTCTGGTTCGGGAAATAACGTCGCGTCCATGTGCTGGAGGAAGGGAGCCATCGCGACGCGGTCGCCTTTGCGCAGCACCACGGGCGGCTACACGCCAGTATATGCACACCCATGCACCGTATCGATTGCGATACCTCGAGGGGTAACTCGACATCACAAGTCGCTTCGCGCAGAAGGAGCGACGCTGACACGAGGCGAAGTGTCTCGTCAATCGCACTGTCAAGGACGATGCATTTGTCAAGGTCGGCTTTGGACCACGTTGCCTTGGACTCGAGTGCGGTCGACGGCAAGTACTCGTGCACTTCGGCCAGAACGGCGTCCCATGCTGCCACGTCATGCAAGAGATGGTACAGCGTCCAGAATGCTGTCGGCACCGAATTGCTGTTGGTCGCCCACAAGAGCGCGAGTTGGGTTCCGGCGCAGTTGTGCACCGGGGCCTGCACGCGTCGAAAAAGCTAGTCCCTCAGATCTGAGTCGTCGCCACAAGCAAATGAAAGCTTACCTGGAGACGGTCAAGCATGAACTGCGAGCAGCCACGCATGAGGCTCGGCTCCACGATCGCGTCACTAAAGCCTTGTGCCATCGTGCTGGCGGCAGCGCGGGCCGTGCGCAGTAGCCCTACCCAGCGCTCGTCATAGGGCAGAAAAGAGATAGGATGTTCATATACATGTCGGTACGTAGCCCGAGGCGAGGACCGGGAACGCGTCATCAAACGCCACGTAATCGTGCAGCAAATCAGCGTGCAGGTCGCAGAACGCGTCGCCGAAGAGTGTCCGCGAGCTCGACTCAAAGAGCGCTTGGCGCAGGAACGAAAAGAGGTGGAGCTGGGACGCGCCAGGTGCCGCGAGACGTCGCTGCAACGCACGTCGCTGCTGGAGCACGTTGGCCTCGACAAGCGCCGAGAGCCCCGTGCCGTTGACAAAGTGCTGTGTAAAGAGGCTGTGGACTTGGCGGTAGTGCCACTGGCTCGGGTGCGGAAACCCCGAGTCGTGGCCGAACGCTGCGACACAGACGTCGTGCACCACGGGCCCGAACGAGAGCGCCTTTGTCTGAAGCAAAACTGTCACGTGCGCTGGCGACGTGAAGAACGTCATGTATCGACCGGCCAATAGCACGCGAAAAACCGATCCATGCTCCGCGCAGCATGCTCGCAGAAAGGCGACGGGCGAGGCTGCAAAAGCGAGTGCAGAGCCCAAGAGAGGAAGATACCAGCGGACCGTTGGCACGCTCGTCTTGCGAGTGGCGAGCACGACGGCGAGGACTACCGTGAGCACGACGGCGGTGGCAATCAAACCATGCGAGAGCTGCAGCATCGGGTGTGTTGGTGCCGGCACGTTGCAATATGAGGTTGCGCTTGTGCACGAAGTCGACCCCGCCCCACTGTCGCAGTATCCCGATTATGGCCCGTACAAGTTGTACGATTTATCATGAAGTTTGTATACCACTGGTCGGAATGCGTGGCGGGCGGGCGCATACGCAGGATCACCGGCAGGACAGAGGCATTTCGTGGATGGGAGGAAGTCTCGTCGCGCGAGATGAGATGTGACAGCAGCTGCACGAAGCGTTTAAACGCCAGCCTATCACAGCGCTCGGTGCGGCAACATCATCCCGTATTCGCGCACGCCATAGTGGCACCACAGAGTATCATGACTGCAACGGCAAAGTCGCGGGCAGCGATGGCCTCGGTGCAACCTTGGATGTATGAATAGCATCAAGCAATATAGTTCAACTCTTTTGGCGTCCAAGGTATAGAGACGAGCTCTCGGGTGGCAGGTGCATGCTCGGTGGCGCCTCGCAATCCAAAACAGCACCTCCTGCTGCCACGTCATGGATGGTCACTTCAACTGTCCGGATATCGCATCCGCCATACGAAACGAGATCTTGGTATCCGGTAGATACTAGTACGTGGCAGCCGGCGACGACAGCAATGCGAGCGTTGCATGTAGTAATATCTGGCGTTCCTCCCATATCACGCGTTGGCTTCCCTTTAAAAAGCTCGTTCGTGTACGAATTCATGGACTCACACAGAATCCCAATCCCAATCACAACATCAAAATCAATCTCAAACGACTTTACATCTCAAAAGCAGACGAGTTTTTTACGACACAATGACGTAGCGCGACCGTTCCTCTAATGTTTGGACTTGCTTCTTCTCAATCACGCTCTCAATGTTGGCGAAGCGCAAGAGAAGCAAGCTCGAGGCGCCAGCAAAGGCAAAGCCGATGCCCATACCCATCCATAGGCCTTGGAGACCATACGCGTAAATGAACGCGAGCAAGTAGGCCACGGGTAGGCCAATACCAATGTACGCGACAAAGTTGATGATGGCGCCGTAGTTCTGGAGCCCGTAGCCCCGCAGCACGCCTTGCATCGTCTGGTTGATGCCTTGGGGCACTTGGAAGAGCACGAGCACGACGACGACACTCGCGACCAAGCTACACAACCACCTCTGTCGCATCAAAGGTTGTGGCGGTACGTACGTCGACACATCGCGATCGTTTGTAAAGAGATCTGGGATCGCCCAGCGCGTCGCAAGCAAAAGCGACGCAAAGCACAGCGCAAGCCCGGCGGCGGTCGATAGGACGGCGGTCGTGGCGGCGCGCGCCCGCGGAACGTCGCCGCCGCCGATCGCATTGCCGACGCGGACCGTCGCCGAGACGTTGAGTCCGTAGTAGATCCAGTCGACGATCGAAAACACGTTGACGGTAACGGCGTTGGCGCCAATCGCGATGACGGCGTTGGGTAGCACGCCTACGACGCGCCATGGCCACCACATGCGCGGAGACTCGCGCCTACCTGCAAAGAGGGCGAGGATCTCGAAGCTGCACCACTCAAACATCATCATGAGCATGCCAGGGGTGCCGACGGCGAGGAACTCGCCAACGCCGCGCAGTGCGGCACGGGCATGCAGCCTATACAACGTGATGCGTCCCACTTCATAGACACTCATTACCCTGGCCAAAAGTCGCACGCGCCTGGTGTCAGATAAAAGTACGGAAGCAAGCTGAGCGGCAGCGACATCATGGCGGTCGCGCGGCCGATCGCAGCGCCGAGGTACCCCATCGATGTATGGTACACCAAGAGGTAGCCGACACCTGCGTTGACGGCATTGGCGAGCAGCGTGCTGTAGAGCATGGGCCAAGCAATGTTTTGCGCTTGCAGGGCGCGCTTGAGGAGCTCGTAGGCGTACAAAAAGGGGAGGCCCATGACCAGGCAGGCCGAGTATGGGCCTGCGAGCGCGGCCACGTGGGTCTATCCGAGTACTCCTTAGCGAACGACGAAAAGGAACGCGTACGGGCTGGTCGAGGGCGAGAAGGACGTGTGTCGAGCTCAGGTTGAGAACGGCGATGGGCACACAGACGCCGAAGAGCACGAGACTGCCGGTTTGCAGCAAAATGCCAATGCGCTTGATGTTGCCCGCGCCAAACGCTTGGGACGCCAGCGTGTCCATGGCGCTAGCCAGGCCAAGGCCAATGCTAAACCTGTAGAGCAGAATGAGGACCGTCGGAGAGGTAAAACAGCGACGCACCCGGTGACGTTGAAGAACATGTCGCTGAGCGACGCGGCCGCCAGGTACTCTTTGGCGTCGGGGCGGTGGATTTGACCGACAAAAATGAGACTCACGACGCCCGGGAGGTACCCGAGGATGAACGTTGCCATCTATGAGAGGTTGGTGCGTCGTGCTCGATGTGGGTGAATCGCGTACGATAGGCAGCGCCAAGCGCAGGAGATGCGTCGCTTCGTCGCGCCAAAGCGGTCGCGGGGTCTTGGGCGGCGCTTGGTCCATACGATTCGGATAAGAAAATGGGCGGGTAGATCGCGCCCGTCACGTGAGTGGCCAGTGCGAATCTCATCCATGGTCACGCGATTTCGGAGCCACGTCCAACTCTGACCAGTTCCCACCCTGCTCGAAGTGGAGTGGACGAAGGCTTCCGAGCTCGCTCCAAACGAATTTGATAATCGACGCATTTTTGATGCAGCGCTGGAACGGCCACAGTCTATGGGGATGGATAGAGTGGATCTTGGATAAAGCCACCGTGCTACAGTCGCATGGTTGAATTTACGATTTTGCGATTGTTATAGTATTGGCCGTATATTCTGACTGCGGATGCATGCTGGATGAAGCAAGGACAAGCAGTTGCAGGCAGTGCCAACTCGGCAGATACTGGTACGGCAACAACTGATCGCTGCCGCGCGCAGTCCAATCATATACACCTACAACGCCCGTCTCGAACCCAAAACACAACATTCGAGAAGACCAATAAGTTATGACCGTGTCGTCTTGGCAACCGCGGCCGCTTTGTCGCTGATGCGGTCGATGCTCGCACACTTGAGAAGCCCGAGCCCGATGGTGGCGGCGGTCAGAAATGCAAACACCATGCCGATCCAGAGCCCCGGGAGGTCGAGTTGCCAAGGAAAGGCCAGCGCATACCCGAGGGGGAGACCCACGATGAGGTACGCGACAAAGTTGATGACGGCGCCTTTTCCCTGGAGCCCGCACCCGCGCAAGATGCCCTGTGTTGTCTGGTTGATGGCTTGGGGTAGCTGGAAGGCGACGACGACGAGACCCACCTCGGACGCCAATCTACGCAAGCAATAAGACAAGAGTCTCTTCAGGCGAGACGTACGACGCAATTTCGGCATCGCGGGTAAACACAAGCGGGTAAGCTTGCCGCGCAAGGTAGAGAAGACCCATGAGCAGCGTTGCAAAGCAGGCGGCAGCAACCAAGACGGCTTTCAGTGCGATTTTAGCGCGCGTCGGGTCGTTGGAGCCAATCGCGTTGCCAACGCGCACGGTCGCCGAGACGGCAATGCCGTAGTAGAGCCAGTCCAAGACTGCATACACGTTGATCGTGATGGCTTGGCACCGATCGACACGATGGCGTTGGGCAAGAGGCCTACGTCGCGTAAGCCAGCTTTCGTTCGTTGCACCACGGCAGCGTCGCACCCGATAGAATCGCAATGAACTCGAAGCTGCACCACTCAAACATCATCATGAGCATGCCAGGCGCGCCGTAGACCAGGAACTCGCCGACGCCGGCCGCCGCGCACCGCCAGTTCCACCTACGCCCGTTTCTTGCGTTGTCCATGTCAAAAATTGAGTGCGTACCCTGGCCAGAAGGCCCGCGCGTTCGGATGCCACCAGTAGTATACACCGAGACACAGCGGCTGCGCGATGTTGGCGGCCGACCGACCGATCGCAGCGCCGAGAAAGCCATAGGCCGAGTGGTGCACGAGCACGTAGCCGACGATCGCGTTCACAGCATTCCCCACGAGGGTGCAATAGACCATTGGGAGCGCCACATTCTGTGCCTGGAGCGTCTTCTTCAAAAGCTCATAGACAAAAGCAAAGGGTAGGCCAAGGACGAGCCAACGTGCATACGCGCCGGCGAGGACCGCGACGCGTTCCTACGATGCGAGTTGGTGTCGGAAACGCAATGTAGTTGCGGTACCGGCTGATGCAACGCGAGAAGAAGATCCGTTGCAAAGAGGTGGAGGAGCAAAATCGGCAAGAAAAGAACGCTGAGCACGAGAAGACCCGACTGGAGGAGTACGCCAATACGCTGGAGGTTGCCAGCACCGTACGCTTGCGAGCAGAGCGTGTCCATAGCGCTAGCCAAGCCGAGACCAATGCTGTACCTACATAGAATTCGCGTTCTCTAAGCAAACGAATCGAGAGCGCTCGAGTCGTCGTCGTACCCCGTCACGTTGAAGTACATGTCAGCGAGCGACGCGGCGCCTAGGACGAGCTGGACGTCGGCAGCGTCACTGTGCCCAACGACGATCAAACTCACGACGCCGGGGAGAAAGCCCAAGACGTAGGTGAGCATCTACCGCCGGCGTAGTATGAGCTCAGATAACGAACGATGCGGGGGAAGCTGGACGTACGACAGGCGGTGCCAAGTAGCACAAGTGCTGCATCTCGTCCCAAAAGACATCGTCTGCCTCTGATGTTGCAAGCTCGATGGCAACGGCCGCTTCGCACGGGCTGTGGCCACCGACCTGGCCATACCGAGGCGCTCCGCGCTGGAGGCTCGGAAGCACCATTCCTTCGAAATTGCAAGTGACATGCCAAACTAACGGGCGCCACCCACGCCAGCCGCTTGCAACAAGCCAATGCAGCGCGCCGCTGTACGTGGCGCAGAGTCCTGTCGCGCCATGTGGTAACAGCAGCTGGCGGCAAGTCCACCACAAGCTTTGGCGCCAAATCTATAAATAGAACGCAAAATGCAGTTTCAACAACAACGGAATTCAAATACAATTATAATCCAACGAGACTCACGGAAGCGACGAAGAAGAGACCCATGAACCCATGGATGGGCACGCAAAAAGATATGCAAGAAAGAGGACGAGGGTTGCACGTGGTGGGACCTTATAACGATCGGCGGCGGCCTAGTACGCAAAACGACATCGTCAATACGAGCATTTGATGTGTGTACCGGGCGACATGCAGCAGCGCAGCTCAAGTTTCTTGCACTGTTTCTTGAGCAGTGCGACCGTGCGCGTCTACAAGCATGGAAGGTATCCTGTCTGCGCGCAAGGGATCGATAAAATACCGGCATGCAAATGTCGATAATGTCGACCCAGCGCCATCTCTGGGTCAAGACGAGATGACGGAGCAACGCAGACTCATCATCCGTAAACTCGCTACGAGGATCCATTTGCTTCGATATCACTAGATGCAAGAATCGCGTACCCCCAGTTGATGTCTGGACGCAAGTAGCCAACCCAGCGATCGCGGCACTTTTTCGGACTACGTGCACGGCAGTTGCAGACGTGAGTGATGTGCGTTCGTTGTAATGTTGGAGAGACGCACAATACCTGCGAGGCGGCAGGAGAGGGCACGCCGCCGCGACATGGTCCGCAACCAGCTTCCAGTTTTTCCATGATGCGCGACAGCCATTTTCAAGGCATCGTTTTCTTCCATCTGCCACGGGCCTTTCGCGGTGCTACGCGCTGTAAGTTGGTTCATAGATCGAGTAGCGTCGTAGTACTTGAGTCCGAGCCAGCGCTGGTAGCACTGGCTGGGCGACCGATTCGCAACGCCTTGGGCAATTGTCTATGGAAGAGGTGAGGATGAGGCCAACCGTGAAAGCGTTTGTCGGTCAACCGTCCAGTGGCCCGGGCCAAAGGCGACGACGCAGATCGAGAGATCGGCATCCTGAGCCGTTTGATAAAGGCCTCGAGATTCACAGCGTCACTTCGCACCTCACACTTTGACCACTTGTTCTTTGGCTTGGGGGATCGCGGTGAGCTCATGCTCTAAACGCTAAAAGCAAAATGAGCTCGTGTGTGAGCCCGAGTTGCACGTCAACCGAGGACATATGTAGCGGGGGCTGTCAGGTACGATTGTGGGAACGTTCGAGATCACAAGCAGTTGAATGATTCTAGTAGCCGTCAACGTTGTAGGGTTGAAATTGATTCAAACAACTTAAAGGCGGCCAATTGCGAGCGAGCCTTGTGAAAATGAGGCCTATCGGCGCCTCGGTTAGAGCCTCGAACTGCAACTAAGTTCTGACGCATGTCAAGATACCATAAAACTCGAAATCGATGACCCCATCCCCGACGGCTCGACATGGTACAGCCGCTCGACTCGAGCAGTCAATTGTTTCAAAAGTGCTACGCAACAAAAATCCAATCCAATCTAAGGCGGTCGCTAGGCTCAATTGGCTCGCGTCGCTGGCGACAGGGGCGAATACAATCTCGTTCGGGGTGTACGTTCGTAATTTTGCACAATACGATGGTTCCAAATACTACGCCAGAAGACAAGCGTTTATACTTCAATACTCTTTCGCGCTCGTACATGATGCGAATTCCCATACTAATAGTGTAAGCTTAGTATATTGACGTACTCTATACTACCACAGTAAGTTTTTATTGGCACAGTATCCGCTGCGGTGTGGGATGGTTGGGCTTGGGGTTCCTGGTTGCCATCTCAAGAACTAGTCCAAGTATCAGTTTCTTGGTGAGCAGTTGTACAATCGAGTTGCATCTGCATACTAAGCGCAGGAGAGGTTTATAGGCCTGGTAACGCGCAGCATTGGACGGGTGTGTATGATGCCGGCAATGGCGTCCGGCGATATTTCGTCTCCGCAAATTCGATAACGCCCACTGCTTGGATTCTTTTGGAGTCATATGTCAGGAACGCGTTTGAGCGCTACGAGTCAAGGGAGGAAGCGACAGGGCACCTTAACATAACACAACTGCACGCCACGAATTCCCCGTCCACCCTCGACCAGATAAAGGGCCAGGTGAAGTCGTCTCGGTGGGCATGGTAGGATAGCTTGCCCGCGCTTGCGACTGCAGAGATTGCCACCGACCAGAAGCCCCCCCACCTGCGCAGGCATCCCATTTGTGTTGTCTTGCTGTCATCGTGCACTTTGCGCATGCCTGTGTATGGGCGTACCGACAGGCATCATTCATTGAGAATGGCCTCGGTATTACCATGCATGTTAATTTCGTCGGCACATCCTCGACGACGTGCGCATGCGATGTTGCGTTCCTAGCACGACATGTGAGCAGCTTTGACGTCTAGGTCGGAAGATTCAAAAGCTGGAGGCTCATCAAGACGCGTACAATTCACTTGCATATTCATTTACAAAGTTAGGAAAACCACGAATGACATAAATCCAGAAATTCATCACACATCGATCGCGCACGTGAGCTCACTTGAGCTCGACAAAGTCGCCGTCGAGGAATTGTGTGTGGAACCAATCGTCGTCCAAGAACGACGGTGTGTGGTTGGTCGACTCGCGCTGGGGACGACCTGTGTGGCAACCCTCAGATTTATCGGCTACGCTGGATGGACACATACCCGGTGACATGAGTCGGTCCCAACGAAGCTTTCGGCACTCCTCCTTGATCAGGCGCGCTGGGCGACCCTGATCAGATCAGACCACATTAGCTCTGTAGCAAGAGGGAGATGCCCACGTACGGGCAAATGCCGCGCGAGACTGGCCCAGCTCTTTGAAATGGGGAGCAATTCGGCAATCTTGGCGATTTCCTCGGGCGTAAACGGTCTAAGCGCACCACGAGTCGGTAAATAAGGTGTGATCGTCTCCTGTGTGCGTACGCTGTGAGGATGTCGGGGCTTAGGTAGTTGCACCACCGGTCGCGACACGCCTTGGCGCTAATTTATTCTGTATGGGACACCGAGTTGTGGACAGTTGCTTACCTGCGGTGGCACGATGGGAGGTACGCCTCCATCCACTGCGCGACCTCGTCCCAGTTCTCGCACGACGTTGATGGCCACATGATGAGGTAGAGCATGTCATCTTCGACGCGCTTCCAGTGCCCCTGGGGGCGGCCTTGGCTACGCAATACACTTGAGTGCAATGGTATCGAGCCGGGCTGTCTACCTGAGACTCCGCGTCCAGCGTTGCTGGCACTGCTGCCGCGAGCGCGTTTCATCGCGCGCGCCACGTCCTAGGCGCCGATTTCATGAGGATATGCTGATATCACGTCGGAGGTTTGGCGCACCATCCACGACACGGGCGCGCCTTGGTAACGCTCAATGAGTCGTCGCAAGAGCTCGTCCTACGGCCGCACCGGTGAACCTCAGTGCGCTCGTTGGGCCACGTACTTCTTCGGGGGTCCAACGGCCACTCGAGTGCAGTGTCATCTTTGTGGGCAATTCGGGAATGAACCATTGTCGTCGCAGCGCCATGCCGTACAGCAAGATGCTCCCATAGCGAGTATCTTGGCGAATTCGTGCATATGGCAGCGCGATGGTAGTATTTCCACGCTTTCTTCGCGGGGTAATCTCGTCCGTATCACGCTCTTCGGCCGCAATCACATGCCTTGGTTCCGCATGGAGCGCGTCGTGCAACCCCCTTGCCCTACCGGGCATCGTTCCCCGTACGGAAGCTACACACTCAGCGGCATCGTTGCCTCCCACGAGCGTCGTCTGCAAGGCGAATGGATTTGGGTGTCCTCGGATGGAAGGCCTCGTCACGTGCGGGCGACTCGCGCAGGCCCTCTCTGAGCCACACAAAGTCCGTTACCCTTCTCGAACGCAACATGTCTCAGATTATCATCATTGATAGCATTCGAGTTTAACTAGAACGCCACGGATTCACGCTTCCATGAGCGCCGCAGTGGGAACGGTCACACAAGCACGTAAAGCTCAAGGAAGCTAGATACCTGATATACCTGGGTTGAGTCCTAAAGGAATGTTCTCGAAGCTTTCAAGTGGAAGGCCGAGCTCGTGAATTGTACTCGGTCCAACGACAACCAGACTGATCGTGGCCGAGATTCTACCATAAAAATGTAAAAGGGGCTGGGAGCACCATTTTTCTGTGCTCGGGAGATTGCGAGCGTAGTATGTATCTATGCGTAGGTATGGACGAGAAAGGCTGCGGTGCGCTCAAGGCGGCGGCAAGGCAGGTGCGAAATTCGAGCGAGGGATCGCTGGCATAGCATCGGATTCCGGGCCGCGTCGTTGATTTCGGATTTTTTTTCGAGATCGTGGGCGCGACCCGCGACGCTATCGGAGGATGGTGAGTCAACAAGTGTAAGCATCGCTCCCCATCGAATCGCTGCGTACACCACTAGTCACAACGTTGCACTCGTTACTCTTGGAGGGTGCGGTGACGGCCTGTAAATTCTAAATTACTCATTCCACAAAAGGCCTGTGCATTCATGTCATCTGTAGCCTCGCAAGCATCTGTGTCGTCTTGATCTGATGCCTTTCGTGTCACCTTGCGCAGGCAGACGTAGTACGTGGTTAAAAGTATCTTGTCAAACTTGCGGTTTGAGTGCCGCACGGTGGATCGAACCCCCGCCCTCCTCTGCAGGCAAGCGGCAAACACAATCGAAAGCACCATTTCTGCAGCATACAAAACGCAAGTCAAATTCGTGCAAAACAAATGGGATACCTACATTCTGCGCATACACTCTGGTAACGCAGAACGGCAGCCGCAGTTTCCAGCCACCCTCCCGCCGCCTGAGCCGACTCCAGGATGTTCAACAGCAACGTCGTAGCCCTCGAGCGCATCATGGGCTCGCTCCGCTCCTACACGGTACTCGATGCATGCGCCCCATGGAGGTCTCTGAAAATGCGGCGCTAGGACGCGACGCGGGTCCGCCAGGACGTCGAAACCCTTCTCCGGCAAATCCCATCCCTCGCTCCGCAGAGCGGCGTCTACACGCACAACAATGGCACGACGAGGTTGTGTATGCGAGCTTGGATGGGCCCTTTGCCTACATGTTTGCTCTAGCACCATGCTGAGCCTCTCGGGCACGATCCCGATCTACTACAATGGCAGCCAGTACAACATTCCCGTTGAGATTTGGATGCCGGAAGCGTACCCGTTCGCGGCGCCGACGTGCTACGTGCGCCCGACAGCCGACATGATGGTAGGCGAATGGATTGCTTCTATCGACTGCCGACCATGCCGCAGATTCGGCCGGGGCACCCGCACGTCGATCAAAACGGCCTGATTTTGCTGCCATACTCGACGCACTGGGACAGCGACCATAGCCTTGTAGAGCTCATTGGGTGCGACGAAATCTGCAGAGCGCTACGAGGACTGATGGCGCCACGTAGGTATCAGTGCTCGGTGTTTGGGACGCAGCCGCCCGTCTACAAGCGTCCGGCCAACCAGCCTGCGCCGCAGCCGACGTACACGCCTTCGTACACCAACCCGTACGAGCAGTCCATGTCGTCGTCGGCGGCGGCCCAGTACCCATACCAGCAACAGCAGCCGGCCCAGTACGCGAGCCCGAGCTACACCCAGGTACTTTTTACGCCTGTTGCCATCCCGGCTCATGCGTCGCGTAGCCATCGTACGCTGCGTACTCGTCGCCGATGCCAGCGCCGGACCCGGCCATCAAGCTCAAGGCGGAAGTGACGGAGAAGCTCCAGCATGAAATGCAAAAACTTTACAAGCGCATTCGAGGTCTCCTCCTTCACTTTCTTGCGATCCTAAACGACTCATTGCGACATAGAGGAAATCGATACGCAGTTTGAAACGCAGCGCGACGTTGCGCACGGCCAGGACGTCTTGGCCCAGGGCGAGCAGTCGCTCCAGCAGCTCAAGCACGAGCTCGATCAAACCCTCGTGCACATCCAGGACACGGATGTCCACGTCACCAAGTGGCTTTCCGAACAGGAAAACCAAGTCTGTGCTTTGCTCTGGACACACAACACGAGTACTCATCTCATTATTGGCTTGTGTAGCAAGAGATGGATGTGGATGAAGTGCTCGTGCCGGCCGATGCACTCTCGCAGCAGTACACAACCTTCCATCATCGCGGGGCCATGTTGTCATGTTGCTTTGTGCAGGCAATTGGACGCATTTGCGGACCAGCAAGCGATCGAAGATGCGCTGTACTTTATGGACCGCGCGCTTGCCAACGGCGAGATCGAGCTCAGCGTCTTCTTAAAGGTCGAATTTGTTCTCGGATGTGGCCTATCGAACGACTCATATGGCGCGTAGGAAGTGCGCAAGTTGGCGCGCAAGCAGTTTATGTGCGTTGCGCTCATGCAAAAGGTGCACGACACGCAGCATGCGATCGCCACGGGTCGTCGCTAGCCGCTGCATAACACACGTCGACGAATATTGTCTTTCCAGCGATTATGGGGTTGGCGGCACGCCGTTATGGAGTTGAGTGATGGTCTTCTGGCTCGAATCGACCTGCATTCCTACGAGCGCGAACGCCAGCGGCGTATCCGGAACGTTCCTCGTTGGTGCAATTTCACTTTTCCATGCCCTCCACACTTTCTCGTTGGCTCATGGGGACACAAGTCCAGAGAATCATGCCGACGATGGCCGCGACGACGCTTCCCAGCCCGCCGAGCGCGACCGAACTCCACGCCATTGTGCAGCGCATCACCAACCTCTCGAGCGAAGCGCTGCTCGGGCTCCTCCAGGTCATTGCCGCGTACGAACCGTCGTGGCAGCTGTGGCAAATGGATTTTGTGGACGAAATCCAACTCGACTTGGAAGCGATGCAGCCATTGACATTGCAAGCCATCGCCATGTACCTCGAGACGCTGTCGTACTATTAGTACCTCGATAGCCCGCGAAATCTGTATTTATAAAACTTGAATATCAAAACTGAGACACACAGCTATGATTAGCGCGCCAACTGCAACGCAATGGCGTTGAACGCAAATAGCGGCAACATGGCGGTCCGCTTCAACCGCCGACTGAAAATCACGGGTGCAACGTGCCACACAAACCAACTTTGCTAGCATGGCCGTCACGCGCGCGGGCTCGGTTGTGGACCTTAGCCAAGCCATCGAGTTCCTGCCCGGGAAGCTCTACTACGTGGCCGTCGCGTCGCAGCCCAAGCCCAAGGACAACACAATTTTCTTTTCGATCGACACGCAGCTCGTGTATTGGAACTACTGCCTCGACTTTGGCCCGCTCAACATTGGCCACGTCTTCCGCTTCAACGACATCATCGCCGAGCACTTGGCGCACGCGGCGAAAACCAACGCCAAGGTCGTCCTCTACTCGAGCACGAACGGTCAGCGCCGCGCCAACGCCGTCTGCCTTCTCTGCTGCTGGGCCATGCTCTTCCAGAAGCTCGACGCGGCGACAGCCTACGCGCCGTTTGAGCGCCAAGCGTTCCCGCCGTTCCATGACGCGACCGATTTCGAGTGCTCGTACGACCTCAGCGTCAAGAACGTCCTCGATGGCCTTGAGCGTGGCATAAAGAGCAACTACATTGACGTCGCTACCTTTGACGTCGACGAGTACCAAAACTACGAGAAGGTCGAGAACGGCGACTTGAGCTGGGTCTCGCGCAAGTTCATCGCGTTTGCGGGCCCGCACAACAAGTACTCGAGCAAGAACGGCCAGATCACACTGCCGCCGGAGCACTACATTCCGTACTTCAAGCAGAAGAACGTGACGCTCGTCGTGCGCCTTAACGACAAGTGCTACGACAAGAGCCGGTTCGTCGCCGCGGGCATTGACCACCTCGACTTGTACTATCCCGATGGCACGAACGCGCCCATGTCGATTATCAAGCAGTTCATCGAAGCGTCCGAGAAGACGCCGGGTGCAGTCGCCGTGCACTGCAAGGCCGGGCTTGGCCGCACCGGCACGTGCATTGGCTGCTACATGATGAAGCACGAACAGTTTACGGCGCGCGAGGTCATTGGCTGGTTGCGCCTCTGCCGCCCCGGCAGCGTCATTGGCCCGCAGCAAGATTTCATGGAAGAGATCCAAGACATCATGCGCAATGCCATCAACTCGGCGATTCCGTCCGACGAGGCGGACGAGGCGACGTCGATCCCGAAAGGCGGCGCGGCGTCGCCCGGTCGGTTCCGCAGCGAAGGCAGCAGCATCCTCACGAGCCTCGGCGACATGCGGAAAGCCGGCATCAAGGTGCTCATGCCCGGAAAGGGCCTCGGTCTCGGTCGCCCGGCACCCAACAAGAAGACGACCATCAACCCCCAAGGGGACTACCTCATTGCGCAAAAGCAATCCAACAGCCCGCCGCAGTCGCCGGCGCGATCGCCGCCCAAGTCGCCGCTGCGCCCGAGATAAACACATGACCAAGAGCCCGCCATAGATTTAGATATCCTACCTAACGCCCTTTATGAACCCTCGACTGGAAACTATGGCGCGCCACCGAGACAGTGTCTTTGAAACAGAAAGTAGATTCTGTACGTATGGACAGTATTCTGTATGACTTTACATTTGATTTGTGTATGAGCATAGATAGCGCAAGTCATGACCGGGACAGTTGAAGAGTTGCGCGAGATCGCAACCGGACCGCGCGGACGACCTCCCTTCATGCAGCTCAACGAGCTCCACGTGACCAACTTCAAGAGCTTCCGCGGAAGCCACGCGGTGGCCTTCTCCCCCGGCGTCAACTGCATCACGGGGCCGAACGGAGCAGGTCCGGACGAGCGCAACGATGGGCAGCTCGACCATGGACCATGATGTAGGCAAGTCGAACCTCCTCGAAGCCATCTGCTTCGCGATGGGCAGCAGCGTCCTTGCGACGTTCCGCGTGAAGCAGTGGAAGGACCTCCTCAACTGCGCCGAGAAGGAAGCCAGCATCAAGCTTACCCTAACGACTGCAAGTACGTCGTCTCATCCGCAAGGATGCGAGGAAGAGTACATGGGATTAGGCCAGGGACAAGCCTCGGTCGGCGTGACGCTTGCTCCTTCGGGACATCGCGTCTACTATGTCAACAACCGCGCCAAGGCCAAGAAAGGTGCATTGAACAGCGGAGACGATAGACCATGATGAACGCGACGTAGAGTTGAAGCGCTTCCTTCGCGCTTCCTGCGGCATCAACATGGACGTCTCCCTGTGGTACATGCATGGCCACGGCGTCAAGCAGCTCATGAACGACTTGCAGGCTCATCCAACAGAACCTTGTGCACAAGATGGTATCACGTCCAGCGCTTGTCCATAGCATGTATCGACCAAGCGTTCTAGGCCATGAAAAAGGAAGACGAACTTGCCTCGTTCCTCTGCGAGGTCTACCTCGCTCTGCTTGTAATCCATGTGTCGTCAAAGCTCTATAGGCCGCAGGCACCAAGTACTTTCTCGAGTGCCGTCAAGACGCCAGCCTCGCGATCGCCAAGTTCAAGCCGACGCTCGCCACGATCCAGTCGAGTATTGCCCTCTTGGTGGGTACAAGTCCTATTCTCGACATTTGCATACGCGGCATGATTCTAGGAAGCGGCGTTGCAGCAACAAACGGCCGCGCTTGCCCACAAGGTGGACCTTCAAAAGGTACACCTACCCCTCACGAGAGCGAGTTTCGTCAGTTGCTTGCAGCTCACACATGCAATCGCGGCGCAAGAAGCTTTACTTCAGCGGCTTCACACTGAGAAGCGCGAGGCCCGTATATCAAGACATGCTAGGTGATATCGGTTTGCCATGGGTTGCTTGTCCTAGTGGAAGCTGACGCAGCGCGGGCCCTTGCCACCATCACAGACCACATTGAAACGTGCCAAGCAGCGCTGGACGATTTGCATGGCCAGCAACATGCACTGCAAGAAGAACTCACACGGCTCGAACTGAAGACGCCACAAAAGGCCTTCGACGCGATCGAGAACGGGATGGAGCAATGCACGTCCAAAATCGAGGAGGTCAAGTACGTTCTTGCGGCAGCAACGACGCAAGAAACGACGCTGCAAACCCAACTTGCAGCCGCGCGTCAAGCCCATGACGTGGCGCGCCTCGAGCGGGATGCTAGCCAAGACGCTATGGACGCCCAGGAGCAAGCAAGCAGCCCTTCTTGTGTTATGTTTTACCTGATGAGTGTCTTGCATAGGCCATCGCGAAGTTGACATTCGAACGTCGAGCACATGCGTGGTACTTGAAACTCATGGAGGACGCGCGGCCTTGGACAACACCGTACGTGAACCATAGACGCTTCATGCGTTGCGATGCTGAACTGTGAGCATGGACGTAGCGACGCAACGAGTTGTATTCGCAAATCGCTTGAAGCAAAAATGACAGCCGCCGGTGACGTGTCACTCACCGCAGGCTCAGCAGAGCGTCTCGTGCACAACGTACGCGTGACTGATTTGCTATAACTATATACGTGGGCCTTTGATCAAGCGATGCCACATAGGCGGTTGCCGTGGAAGCGATGCGCGCAGAGCTCGTCCAATTAGACACGGAAATAAATGACCTGCGCCAAAAGGCCGCAGACATGGGCAGCGCGGCGCTGGAACGTGTTCCTCCGAGCACACTTTCGAATGACATGGATCGTCTTCGGCGAGAGCTGCTGCAGCAACAGCAAACACTCGCTGATCATGAGATGCGCCATTTCCCAGGCCTTCACGCGCAGCCACCGCGCCAAGGATCGGGTACGTGAGGCATCCTATTTTATGGTGCCCACGGTTAAATTATGAGGACTAAGTTTTAATCACAGGGGACTATGGGGCCTTGGTTTCGCTCTTTCGACTCCAGCCGCGCCTTTCTGCGTGGTGGCCAGCTTTAAGCCTCGTGCTCGATGGACAGCTTCTTCACCGCGTGTGCGATACGGCAGTGGTATGGAGTCGCCAGCACACCTGCGATTGTGATTTCATGAATTGACATAGACGGCCAAGAGTATTCTGGACGCACACAACAGGCGTAGTGGCCTCTTGATCTGGTATATCTGCAACCACGAGCCTCGACGCTAACATCCTCTATCACAAGGCCCCTCGCGCAGCTGCACGTTCGTCCGCGTGCGTGGGATTCAAAATGGAGCCAGCTCCAGCGCGAGTTTGGGGATCGCATTTTGGATCCTCTCCAGCTCTTCTCCTCGGATTATGCTCGTGCTTCGGAACTTTGGCCGTGCTATCGTCGAGGTAATTCCTCTATCTCCTGGTGCATTTTAGCATGTGCATCAGCCCTTGGGGCGTGGCTCTTTGTGGACTCGGATGCAACAGCCAAGCACATTCTTCAACGATTTGGCATTCCGTGTATCACCAAGACACTCAACATGCACAGCTCTGGTGTATGCTTTTATTGAATGATTCAATCTGAAGCATTGCACTTGCTGTAGGTGCTGACTGGCGGGAGCAGCCCTGCCCAGGCACGATCCACGGGTCTTCTGAACGCTGTGCAACTGCATGCACTGTCAGATCGCGTGTGCGTGCGATCGCTGTGCAGAGTCTTGTGTGCAAACAATTTCCATGTCGTAGGTCGGTTTTGCGTCACCAGGAGGCTGAGTTGCTTCAACGCCAAGCCGACCACGAGCAGGCAATGCGAGAGCGTGACGAGTACGCCCGTATTCAGTACGTTGCCGTCTATGGTTGTAGGGTTGCAATGACATTCCGTCCCGTATTAGGGACGCTATCCAGCGTCTGGAGGACGGAAAGTCCCTTGTTCAGGCACGTTGCGCGCAGCTCGAGGAGGAACGCATCGAACTCAAGGCATGTCGTGATGTGCAACTTGAATACTTACATGATGCATCATTCACTGCAGCGAGCAAAAATGCAGCCGTCCACCACCAGCTCCAGCGCAGCGTCTTTGTGGACCTCGGCAGCACTCGCGTGGCCTTTTGCAAAACTACGGCGCCGGACTGGCACCAAGAACACGCCCGCGTACTCGCGTAGGTTGTGCGACGCGCGATGGTACTTGAGGTTTCTCTAGCTGCATGCAAGCGACCCGCGACCAAATTCAAGCGTTGGAGAAAGAACGGCGCGTGCAGCAAGCCAAGCTTCGCGCGACATGTGATCACTGCGAGGCACTTGCCGAGAATGTTGCGGATCTGGAGCAAGCGCTTCACGAATCCAAGGTCGTCCAGTGATGAAAGAGTTGATGGCACTGACATGATATAACTGTAGTTGCACGTGCGTCAGCACCGGGATGAACTTTGTACGCTCGAGCAAGAGCGCGCAGACCTCGAGGTGCAGCTTGGCGCGGCCAAGAACCAGCGCGATTTGTATCAGGCCATGCTCCACGACAAGCGGTACGCATTATTCCAAAGAATGTGTCTTCACAAGAGCACTTTAGACAACTGGACGCGCGAGCGGCTCTCGAAGAAGAAGGGTTGCTCGAATGGAACGAGAAAAAGGCGGCGCTGGATGCTACGGCTCCGCCACGACTTCGAGCCTCTTCGCGCCAACTACGCACGGTTGCGATCTCGCGATCTAGCGCCGAGGTACGATTCTGCATGAAACGAGTGCACTACACATGAGATATGCGTAGATCCAAGCCGAGATGACGGCGATAGAAGCTGAGCTACAGCAGCTGCAGGCACACTCGGCGCGGCTTGTGAACGCCCGATCTGTGGATCATCAGCACGTGGACGCCGAAGTGATTGCTCGCAAACAACACAAGCTCATCGAGTGCCGCGACCACGCGGCCAGCATTGACATTTCGATCGCCAACCTCGAGGCTGGCATCTCGGTGACTTCGGATCTCAGCGCCAGAGTCCAAGAAATGGCCTTTGCAAGTGTTGGCACTACGTTCACATCCATCTTTTCCCGCCTCGTGCCATTGAAAAGCGCCACGCTGCAGCCGACGCATGCAGAGGCCCTCGAGGTATCTACGCCCGAGCGATGCACAATCAGTGCATGATTTTTGCGCAGTGTGGCCTCACTTTTGCATCAATGGGTCACGGCATTCGACGCGCGAACTCTCGGGCGGTCAACTGACACTGCTGGGTACGATCTCTTGCGGTGGCTGGACTAAGGTCGTATGTAGGACTAGCCTATGTGTTCGCGCTCGCACACTACAGCGCGTCGCCTCTCTACATTCTTGATGAGATCGACGCGGCTTTGGACGAGCACAACCAGGTCTTTCTTGACGAATCGGTCCACGCGTCGTCGTCACCTGTGTCTCTGGTAGCTTGTCGTTGCCGACTTGATCTGGGCGCACTTTGGCCAGAGCCAAGCTTTTGCATCTCGCACCACGAGGTACATACTCTCGCTTTACAATATGAGCCCGACGCTACCAACTCCTGTTGTAGAGCGTCCATGCCAAGGTACTATGCTACCGATGGGTCGTTTGCGGTGCTGTACTAGTACGTCTTCTAGGCGACGACGCTACTCAAGGTCCGGAAAGACACCTCGTCGACGTACGTCGAGGCGGTGCACAAGTAGCAACACGCAACGCAAAATCCAACCGACGTCGTTGACAGTGAGCTTACGCGCAACGCGCCTCGTCCTTCTTGGCAGCGGCAAAGTCGCGCTCGAAGGCGTACGGTGGAGACTCGTCGCCAGTCGGGATCTTGGGCTTCCCCGTCATGTAGTCGGCGACCATGTTCTGGAACCGGTGGATTGTCTCTTCGAAGCGGAAGGTCATGCGGCCGCCCTTGTAGGGCTTGGCCTTGATGCCGGCCTGGACGCGTTCGCAGATCGAGAGGTCTTGGTTGTTGGTCATGTCGTAAAAGTCCCACATTTTCTGGAGCTTGGCCTCGGCATCTACGGCAACACGACTTGATCGCGCGACCAAGACGGCGGCGTCGTACCAGGTGCGTCAAAGACGTTGGGATGCACGAGCAGTTCGGCGTGCTCCGTCGTCGTGTTGGGCCCTGCACATTGTGCTTGATGGGCACGGATCATGCTTGCAGCATCTACCTGTGGGCTCGAGCACGACGCAGTAGACGCCGTGAGGCAGCAAAAAGTAGAACGCGTTCGGAAAGTAGTGGTGGAACCACGCAGTCACTTGGTTGACGCCGGTGAGCCCAGGCATCGGCGGCAGCAGGTTCAAGTCCAGCGGCGTCCCGCCGTTCGTCAAGGGCGACGTGACGAAGCCAATGTACGAACCCGTGCCCTACACCGTCGTACTTGGTATCCATTTGAAGAAACAAGTCGGATGGACCTGCGCGCGATGGTGGTCGTCGACGCGCGACACGTCGCAGAGCTCCGGGTGCACGGCCGGAAGGTGGTAGTACTCCATAAAATTCTCGGCGAGGAGCTTCCAGTTGCACTGCACCGGGATCGTGCTGCTCTTGTACGAGACGAGGTCGCTGAACGGGTACTCGGCCAGCGTTTCGTGGAGGTCCCCGAGGTACTCCTTGAGCGGCGGCGCGTCACCGCTCACGTTGGCGTACACAAACGGGCCAAACGTAGCAATGCGGACAGGCAAAAGTCCGTAGTCTTTCTTGTTGAAGTTCTTGACGCACTCGGTTGAGAACGCTGCCTTGACGGCAGGCGTCGGTTCCTTCTCGTTGCCAAAGTCGACTTCGCTCGAAACACCGTCGCCCTTGAACATAGGCGTAGCGAGGAGCCGACCATCGAGCGCATAGCCCCAGCGATGGTATGGGCAGCTAATGACCGGGAACCGGCCGTTCTTCTCGACGAGCTGCGCACCGCGGTGGCGACACACGTTGTAGAAGCCGCGGATCTCATTGTCCTTGGCACGTGTGACGATGATCGGCTGGCCCGCGGCCGTGGCCACGATCGTGTCGCCCGGCTGCTTGAGCTTCTACATCATATCGCATGCCCATGCTGAGCCATGCATAGAGAGTGCAATCGACGCACCTCGGTATAGCCCACGATCTGCCACCCCTTGGCGAAAAGACGCTCGAGCTCCTTCTCATGGTACTCGGCGGATTGATACGTCTCGGGGTTGATGGTCGTCGCTTCGAGCACGGGCTTGCGCAGCTCGGCAAAGTAGCTCTCCTGCGTGAAGCGCGATAGCGCATACGACTGGACGTTCTCGAGGTCCAGCGTCGCGCGCTGGCCCGTGTGGCGGCCCATGGAGCTCATCGCTGCCCGCTGCGGCCATGCGTGCGTGGCGAGCGCTCGGCGGAACATGGCAAAAAGAAAGTACTGGCGCTTGAGTTTTCGAAGATCTTAAACTTCAAGCTCGCTGATTGGTCCGCCGAGTATCTTGGTTCCAAATCAGGCACCGTGGGCACGTTGCACAGAAAAGAGTCCGAATGCTGTCCTAAGATGAGGCCTTCTCCTAATTCAAGTCAAATAGTGTGGAGGTTGAAGTGGATCATCATTTGTCAAAAATAGTGTGGTTGAAGCACGTCCGAAGCTTGTCTCGCGTCGCCCACATCGATATCAACAAGCTAGTTTGCGCCAAAACGTTGTGCCAAATAACCTACTATTACTTGGCAGTTGAATGCCTACGTAAAAAGGACAGCTATGGGCCTCGAACCGCAGCACCAAGCTTCCCTGCTGGTGCCGCACACTATTATGGTTCACAGCAAAGAGCAAACTGTTTGCGTGTCTTCCTGGCGTCAGCGTGCGCTTGTTCACTGCGGGAATACATCGTGGTGCAGCGTTCTAGCTCCGACATTCCTCACAGACATAGCTAATAGAGCGTGCAGTGCATTACATCGTGCGCACACAAGGGGGTAACGATGCTGCACACGGGCTCGTCCTCCGAAATCGTCGCCCGCTGCAAGAAATTCTCTGAAGAAGCCTCTGTCGTTGTGCCACCGTGCAACTGAATTCTGCAGTTGGGCGTTTTGACGACTTCGGTGATCCCCAAAATGACGCTCCTCTGCACATGAAGGATGCCCGTACAAGGCGAACTGACTGCATTGCGCGAGAAGATGCACCGCATCGGCAACCTCCAATTGGCACGCGGCGCGTGGCGCTCGACGTCACCGAAATCGGCAGGATCCAAGATTCGCTGTTTTTTCACGCGCCCCATTACGTCGACGACTTGGGCTTTGTATGCGCTGCCACGTGTCTCTGGCTGGAAAAGATCGAAAATAAAATAAAATCGAGCCAGCGGCACCGGATCAGACGACACTGTGCGCAGGCTGTATTTTATACCTTGGCATTTGTATGCCGTCCCCGCCCATGGATTTCACACCGTGTGAAATATAAACCATCTAGGTCTTTGTATGCTGTAGAAAACCGCGCGGTGCGAAAACACGTAGACCTGTGAGAACGCATACCCCGCACCGCGGTCGAACGTATAAAACGAGCCTGACTATCCCTTTCTAGAGGTTCTTAACAGCGTCGTCGTGCTCTGCAAAGTATGGAAAGAAAAAATCTATTCCGTTTTAGAGGTTTTGTCCGCAGACCTGCATTCTGCACTGGCGCAATGCAAAGGGATTCTCAGTGCTTGAAATTCTCGCGTGACCATCGTGGCGACGACGACCTCCTCCGCCATGCTCCTGCTGCAAGCCGTCGACGACATCTCGATTGCCGAGAGCCTCATGGCCTTGACCAAGGCCTCGGAATCGCTCTCGTCCGCAGAGACCGAGTGCGACTCGGACGTCGAGCCGCTGCTCGTGTCGCTGCGCCACGCCAAGCCCGACGCGACGTCGTCGCTCAAGCATCTGACGCGCCTCGCCGACGAAGAGTTCAAGATCCTTAGCAGCCCGACGGGCATTGACGAGTCGTGGTGCATTGACACAATGCGCAAGATGGAGCAAGGCCTGAAACGCATGAAGGTTGAGGAGCTGCACCTCGGCCCGAGTGCCGAGTCCAAGCCGACGCACCACCACCGCCGCAACGGCCAGCTCATCGTGCTTGACAAGGACAGCGAGTGCGATCTGCGACTGCAAGCGCACCAGCGCGACCGCAAGCTCTCGGTTTCGTCGTGGTGCTCGAGCGACAGCGACCAAGGCACCAAGCGCATTGGTAGCTACTCGCCGGAAGACCGCGCCGAGCGCATCCAGCGATACCTCGAGAAGCGAAAGCACCGCACGTGGGGCCGCAAGATCAACTACGGCGTCCGCAAGAACTTTGCCGACTCGCGCCTCCGCGTAAAAGGCCGCTTTGTCAAGAAGGAAGACGAAGAGCTTCTGTGCCTCTATCTGGGCATGACCTAAACCACAGCGCCGCGCGTCGTCTTGCTGGACGACGGAATCCAAGCCGCCCGCACCGCCACCTCTTCGTACCCCCTTCTCTTGTGGACGCGTCGCCTCCGCCGACCCCGCCCGACGAGCACCCCCTCCACTAGCAAGCCCTAGCAGTAGACCCTTCTGTAGCCGTAGTCGTAGTCACCTTTAGTAGAATCATCTTTAGTGTTTTCTGCACCAGCGTCGCAACCTTGCAAGCCACGTTCAAGTGCCATGAGGTCGCGCGGGTGACGTGGCGACGCGAGAAAGGCTTTGTAACGGCTACAATCTTGTGGATCATTTTTGAAGGACCTCCTGACGCTGGGAAGGTCTCTAGCACCACCACCACCAATGCAGCCACCTCTGCACATCGTCGGCGCTCGCCGAGCGCCTCTCGATGGCGTCTTCTTCTTTGCCTCGTATCGAGCCGCGAGACGTCCCTGCTTGTCCCAAAGCAAAGTTATTACACGCAAAAGATCGCGTTCGAGATTTTGGATCGCGGCTTCCGGATTGGCTTCGAAATTCCGGATGCGGGCCAATCGGCGGCTTCGAAAAAGCCCAAGATCTCCATAGCGGTCCATTTCCGATTATTCACCGCGATGCCCAAGAAGGTCCTGACGCCGGAGGAGGCCGAGGCGCGCCGCCTCCGACGCAACGAGCAGTGCAAGCAGTACCACATCAAGAACCGCGAGCGGCGCCTTGCGTACAAGCGCGAGAACCACGCCAAGAACAAGGCCCACCGCCTCCAAAAGATGAAGGAGTGGCGCGAGAAAAACAAGGAGCGCCGGAACGTCTACTTCAAGGAGTGGTGGCGGAAGAACCGCGCCAAGACGTATGTGCCGAGTGGCACCGACTCGGACGACAGCTCGAGCTCGACCAACCTTCTCATGCTCAGCGAAGTCGCGCTCCAGGTCAAGGTCGAGTCGCCGCTCTCGTCGGACGACGATTTGCACAGCAAGGCCAAGACCAAATTAGCGTGTTACCTCAAGAACGAGACGCTCTACTGCCCATTCGTGTAGAGTAGGTTGATGCATATTTGTCGATCGTAATTTAACCTCTTTTGCTGCGTGCGCTTCCTCCGCCCGCCCAGCGTCGACACTGCAATGCACAGAGTGGCGTCCCGCTGGGTCTTCACGAGGAGCAGAAGAGTGTCTGCTTCTGCCACCGAGCACGATCGGCTCTAATTATGCAGGCGACGATCTTGACCGGCCGCGATTTGAACGACCATCATCATTCTGGCATTGCGATCTTCTCGCACCAGCTTCTTCAACTTGCAACGCCGTGGCTGTCGACGGTCGACTCTTGCGTGTCACAGCAGCAGGTAGCTACTAGCGCTCTGCTGCCGTCGCCGACGAAATCAAGTGCTGCCGCCAACAGGCTCAGACTATCCAGCGCCGCATGTTTCACACCAAGCACGGCCATGAATTGCGCTCCCATGTTCTTTATCTTTCAGCTACACGGCGGGGCACGACGTGCCTTGAACGTCCTTGAGGTACCCACCGACCACCGAGGCAGCGACGTCGTGTGAGTAGCAGCCCGTGGCGTTGGAAGCCGCGAGATAGGCGACGTGGTTGCCCGAACCACCGACGAGCGAGTCCATGTACGCATCGGCCTGCTGGCGAATCGCAACCGCCGCGTCCGAGAGGCCGAGGCGGGAGGCTGACGCGTCGCCGATGGTCGACGTCGTCTTAATAAACGCCGGTCAGTATCCGGTCGAGCCGGAACCCGGCGGCGGCGAGCGCTTCCGGGTGGTTGTTGCGCCGGAAGGCCGGCAAGATTGGGGCGCTGAGAGCTTCGGTCGAGTACGTCACGTACGTGGTGTTGCCGGTGAACGGGTACACCTCTTTTGTGACGCGCTTGAACGCTGGCGCCCCCGATGACGTGATCGTTGTCGTCGTCGTCACGGTCGTGCGCTGGTCAAACCACTGCGTCGACGCGTTGTTGGTGTACACCTGGTCGTTGTAAAAGGTGTAGCTGGATGCGACCGAGTAGAGCTTCGTGCCGCGCGACGTTGTGATGCGCGTCGAGATGGCGTTCTGACGCGTCGCCGTCGTCTTGATCGTCATGTCGAGGCCTATCCCAACGTCGAATCTCAATCTCGGAATGTTGACAAACCTACCGAGGACATCGGCAACGACCTTGGGCACGACAGCGACCGGCATCGTCTGGCTCTGCACGACCGCCTGCGTCTGGTTGCCGGCCTTGTCAAGGTACACGAGGAGGTTGCCGGACGTCGGCCAGTAGTCCAGGCCGTGACCAACGCTAAAGCTTACGTTGTGGGCCTTGCCGTCGACAAAAATGCCGAGGAATGGCGTCAAGTCCAATAGGTATGTTGGCGCTTCAAAGGCACCGGTCGCGACGACGGGGCGCCACATGTAGGGCGAGATACCGCCAGTGTAAATGAGCGGGAACGGCCAGAATGTGCTCACTAGCTTGTCGTCGACAAGAATTTGGAACTCGCGGAAGGCGCCGTTGCCGCAGTTGGTCTGAAGTGGCTCTTTGTACTCGTTGGGCGGGTTGGTGTAGTAGAACTCGTCGCACCCGTGGTGGCTCGTAAAGACCTCGAGAAAGAGTTGGTCGAGGTTGCGCGGGAGCGTGACGAGGCCGCCGCTTCTTGTCGACGGCTGCACGTGAAACCAGCCGTACGCACCGTTCTTGTTGGAAATGCTCAGCACATTGTCAGGCTTGAGCGGCGCCGACCGGATATCGCTGCCGCACGCGTCCTTGGGCTTGTAAAACTCGGCCGTCACACTCACGGTGAAGCTGCTCGTGTACGTCTGGTCGACGACATTGTCGAGGGCAACGACAACGTTGCCGCCCATTGCCAAGACGTCCTTGTAGTGCGAGACGTCCTTGAGCACCTCCCACGTCGCGCCTGCAGCATGAATTCGTCAAGAATTTATGGTAAGGATTGCACGCAAGAGCACCTGTCTTGCGGCTCGGCTCCTGCGTCGTCGTGCGAAGCAGCTCATAGCCGTTCGCCCACACAGCAGCGATGCGGTCGAATTGCCGGCCCGCGGGTACGGACGCCGACCAGCGCAGGTACACGACCGAGTTGGCCGGGTCGGACGCACACGTTGGGATCGGGAAAGCGCCTTGGAACGGTTTTCCATACGAATGGCCAAAGACATGGTTGTCCATGAGCACAACCTTGCACGCCGGCGCGTCGTAGTGCACTTGGTTGGTGTTGACGGGCAGCGTCACATCGATGGATGCAATGTTGTCGGCCGCCAGAGCGACCGCCGTCAAGGTCGCGAGGCGAAACAGCATCGTATACGACAAGGCGAAAGAAAAAGTGAGCGCTTGGATCGACCATCCTCATCTGGTCACTCGACAACCTTTCTCTGATAATAGACCCGAAGATCGCAATCTGATTTCGGTACGGTACAATGTTGCGGCGAGAGTCGCTCTCACTCTGTGCTCTCATGTACACAATTCTAGTACTATAATAGTATTGAGTTACTATCAAGTGCACTATTAAAAAGAATACAACACTACAGTTGATAGCAAACTTACTAGTCTATTGTTATTGGTAGGACACTATCGCCCACTGGAAAACTCATTCAAAAATCTCAACACAGATCAAGTATAGGATTTTATATTGTAGCTTTATTTCCCTTACATACCATATGGGTCCCCATGGCCTAATGGATAAGGCGTCGCTCTCCGAAGGCGGAGATTGCGGGTTCGAGTCCCGCTGGGGACTGTACATGTTTTATATTTTTCGTTTGCACACCGAGATTGGCTAAAAGTCTACCGAAAGTAGTGAACAGTACGCATGCATACCCGTGGCACGCTCGTTGATTAATAGGACCGAGGACATAGAATCACTCATTTCCTTGGTATTAGTCTTAATCATTCATGAATAAGGGCATTAGGTTGAGGCACTACACTGCGAGCTCAAGCGGCAGTATCCGTGCTATTGCTCGTTCATGGCGACAGGTCAACCAAAATCATGGCGGCGAGAGGTGCCGGCGAGTCACTGAGAGTCCAAGAGTCCACAGCACTCTCATCAAACGGCAGTGGTGCATGGATGCTGCAGGTACGTACCTTCCACATGTGACTGCGTCCATCTGAGAATCCTCGATTGTTTAGGCCCTATCTGCTCTTGCCGTGAAGGGGAAACACGGGCGGTCGGCATGTTGTCATGTTGGTAGGCACCAGGTATTTCGAGATCGCATTCGGTGCTGCGCGTGGACATGCTGTGGCGCGGTCACGCACGGGTAGTAGTAGCTGATCTGTTCGTTTCGGCTGTACTTGGCTGCCGTGCCACCCGACTTTTACTCTCAGACGGAGCGCTTCCAGACATGCGTCACGTTGGACTGGAAGACGGCGCGTCCAACTGTGCATATTGGCCAAGGGTTGCAAAGATCAGGCCACCCACTTGATGGCGTTGATTCGTCGGCATCGATAGACCACCCTTCTCAGAATGTTAGTACGCGGGTGCAGTGGCATCGGCCCAAAAACAGTGGATCGAAATTGTGGACCGACACCACCCAAAACACGATTTCGAAAAACCTTGCCAATAGTGGCGATGGGCGGTTTAATAGTACTAGAAAGCGAGCGACCACGCGAACACGTTTGATTGATAAAGCGAGCGACCAGTCGACGCTTGAAAAGAAACGAATCATCGTCCTCGGCGTCACCGGCAACTCGAGGCCTCTGCAGCCGACATCCTTTGCTCATATGCAGTCTCCTCGGGTGCAGACACCTTGTCGATCATTTGCAACCGCACTTCATCACGAGAGCGAGTGGCCAGTTTCTGCACCGACGCAGACGCTTGCAGATGTATGCACTCCGTTCGTATACCTTGATCTCTTGAAAGCGTTTTTCCGCCACTCCTGGTTTCGTCGATCGACCAGACTGCTTTGTCGCCTTTGGCAAGAAGCCTGTAGCCGATATTCACGTAGCCGTTGATAGGCCGCCCAATCTATTGATGAACTGAGCAGGTCTCCAACAGGCGGCTAGGACAAGGCCGCATGTTGTCGTAACCACCATGAAATGTTAGTCGACGCTTAACCGCAGAACGGTCACGAAGTCGCGGCCAAGAGTATGGTGGTCGAACGTGGATATTCACATGTCGACAGAGCAATAAAGATCTTAGAGCTGCTTGGGCGACGGCACGTCCTTGACTGTCGCTGTCGCTGCAAACGACGTGATCCCGAGCGTGATGACGCCGTTGTAGAGCCAATGCAAGGCAAAGCAAATCAAGTATTGCGCCGGGCGGTAGTAAATGCCAATGTCCTTGAGGATCGCCGGTGGCGTCTAAATGCATTGGCTCGTCATCGCGATCGCAGCCAATCATCGCGTACCATGAGCGTCGCCACGTTGATTTCCGTGACGAGCACGACGATCTGCAGAATCGCAGCATGGTAGAGCGCAATAAACGTGAACCCAAACATGATCCAGCTCGGGCTGCCAATGTAGTCGAAGCGCCCCGTGTGCTAGCATCCAGAACGCGAGGTAGATACAAGAGAATTATGCAGACGTCGTCGTACCCAGAGCAGGAAGGGCACAAGCAGCATCATAATGTGCTCGTAAAAGTAGTTGAAGCAGTCGCCCTACTCGTCGCACCTTGAGCGATCTCAACAGCCATCGATCTTCCAACCCAGTGTTCATAGTCACTCATATCTGGAAAGCTCAGCGCCAGCACCGACGACCATGACATGGTCACGTAAACCTACGCGACAGAATCCATGAGTGGTCACCTTCGCTCAAGAGTCGCAGAACCTGAAACAAGAGGTTGGCCGTCTTGCCGCGCGCAACGGTGAGCAGCGTCAAGAGCAGCGTGAGAGTATGGCACGGCTGGAGCGCGTACGGCAGCCGCCACATGCCCGGCGCCAGCGCCTTGTAATATACAATCTATCGCGTATCGTGAGCGTGCTACGGGTCGTGGCATGGACGAGCGTACCGCGACGTAGGACACGCCGGTGCCCACGCCGAGCGTCATATCGAGGGTCGTGGCCTTGCGCACAGGCCGCTGCGCCTTCCACATCGGGTGCTGGGTCGCGCAGTGGTAGCTGTAGATGCTCAGCGGCACGAGGATGCTCATGTAGCACACAAACTCAAACGCATGCTGCCATGGCGAGAGATACCACTTGCTACATATGCATGCATGTAGCCGCGCGTTCGCCCATGCATGCATTGGCGTACCTGCGGAACTTGTCGGGCACGAGCTCATTCGATGGCGTGTTGTGCTGCGGCCCGATCTGCGCGAAGATGTCGGCGATCACGTCGACGACCCGCAGGAGCACCATCGAGCTCGCGACTTTCCGGAAATGAACAAGATGCCATTGGATACAAACGCCGAGATATCTCAAATTTGGGCTTCTTGTCCTAATTAGGCAACGCTCTATTTTTACGCTCCGCGTCTCGCGACTGATCCTCCTGAGTATGGGAATCTCCTAGAATCTGCCGCCATCAACCACCGACATGGTCCTGCGATAACATGCTGCATGCGTCTCTTGGCCAGTGAATATGGAGTGTGGGACGATCCAGGACGCCAGCGATGACGCAGCGCATGCGAACGCATGACGTCGCACTGCGACCAGCAGTATCTTTTTCGTACTATCGCCAAGCGGACCAATCCGCGCGCCGGGATCGGTGCGCCGACCAATCAGAAACCGTTGCCACAGTCGCGGATTGCGCGCAAGATCGCGCCGGTTGAAGTTGGCGACATAGATCAAGTGCTCAACCGGAACTTGGTGCGATAACTGAGTTGTTGACGTGCGTCGAGATCATGATGACTTGGTTGTCCTGCACCACTAACGGCAGCGTTTCGTAGTGAACGAAGCGCAAGAGGAGCAGCTTGTTGCGCGAGGCGCATCGCTTTGGCTCCTTGGCTGGTGTGGAGACGAATCAGCCTTGAATCTGGTCTTCTTTTCGCACCCAGAAATACGTCTGGAATCTCGAGTGCCATCCCTTCCCTTCGATAGAGTGGGAATGCGCCAGGACTGCGAAGCGTAGGGTGCCATCCAGGACGTGGCGTAGCACTTGGTAGCAGGGTAGGGCGAACTACAGCAGTGAGGCTCTTTCCCAAATCCATTCTCGGGCTAGCCGGGTACCAGTTCTCGTGTGCTGCCACGAGTAAACACCTCGATCGAATCGTCATGGTGTCAACGCCGTAAAGCAATTAACGCCGTAGAGTAATTCATTTGTATCGGACGTCTGCAAATGCCACAATGGTCAACTTTCCTCGTAGGAATGTTTTTAGACCTTGAAACGGTGGGGTGTCGCCAGGATGGACCCGCGGCGCCAGCTCACAAAGGGCGAGCTCTTGACGCGAGAGCGGATTCGCCAAGAGACCGTACGTGACTGCATGACTATTTCAGAGGTCGCAATTGCATAGGACGTCCGCGTGACCCAAACCAATGCCATGCAACATCGCCTGCAGCACCTCGTCGACGTCGCCGCGCCCGACGACCCGACGATTTTTCGGGGCATTTACAGCGACAAGCACCCGTCCTTGTCGTCCGCCGAAGTGCGCGAGCTGGCGGCGATTTCGGCACCGCCGCTCGGCCCCGTCGACACGACAGGCTTGTACCATTTGCGGTCCATCAAGCACCCGTACCCGATTCCAGGCTCCCAAGTACTTCACTTTCCAACATGTAAAATGAAACATGTCTAGCTCCGCCGAGAGAAGGAGCGCGAGCTGCAGGCGTCGGCCAAGAAGCAGCTCGTGTTTCTCCACTCGTCGTCGGCGTCGACAAGTCAACTTCCCGACGCGTCGTCTGCGTACGAAGACTGCTTGCATACGCTCGAGGTACTGCCATCGTAGTCATTTCTGTTTTGCGAAAAACTGCTGTAGCAAGGCAAACTACACTTCTTGGCCACCAACCTCCTTGGCGTTCTCAATGACAAAGAGTACTTCATTGTATTGGATCTTATAAAGCATATCTATCTTGTATATGGCGTAGAGCTGCGCTTCAAAAGGACGTGCAAGCGCGGCAACACCGTCTCGCGACTCTCAAAGGCGATCTTCACGCTGTCCAAGCGTTCTGGCACGCCCTCCTCGAAGGCCGGACACGGTACGCGCTGCCCACGGACATTCCCATCCTAGTGTTTATTTACTTAGTGAAGCCGTCTTGCTCGTCACGCAGCACGATTTCGTCGATGTCAACCTCGCCGTCAACTGTCATGCAACGCGCAAAGCCATTTCGATCGAGCCCAACGAGAGCTTTGCGTATGCACTCTGACGACACGATCACGCGCTGATGCGACGACATTAGCGTCGCGCTCACGCCCCTCATGCTGGCAGCCCGGCGTCACAACGTCGAGGTGGTCACCGCACTCTTGCAGCACGGCGCCGACCCGCAGTTAGCCACAGCCAATCAAGACACGGCGCTGCACTTTACGTGGCGCGACGTGCCGCCACGTCACAAGTCCATGGCTTGGGTCATCATCGCCAAGCAAGCCATCGCGACGCAAGAGGTGCTTCTCGCACACGGCGCCTTGGCAAATCACGCGGTACGGTCCTCGCACGGCTTCTAGCTGAATGTATTGCGATCGTAGAACATGTACGGCGTCACTGCTCTGCACGACTGCGCTCGGCTTGGCCTTAAAGAGGCGGTCGTCCAACTGCTTCGGGTACCCCAAAGCGCATGATGGGAGGATATCGTCAAAGGAATATGGAGGGTAGCATGATGGCGATCCGCATTTACGAGACAAGCACGGCAAGTCGTCGCTCGACCTCGCGAACGAGCATGGACACAAGGACATCTGGAGCTGCCTCGCGACGTTCCATACGATTGCGCGCGTCCGGACCGAGTGCGATGGCCGGCGCGACGCCAAGTCCCACTTTAAGACGCCTGGCCTTCTGAGCCATGCGTGGTCGCCACCACGTAGGTTGGCTTTCTCTTAGAACGATGCCAATGGGCCTGTACGTAGCCGACCAGCTCCTCGCCACGCTCAAGCTCGCGTCGCATCGCGCCACATTTCTGAAAGGCAACTACATCACACAGGCCGGCGCACTCATTTTGGCCGACGACGCAATGGAGACATGGGCGATGCGGTCATCGTCCTAACACTGGCAACGATGTGACCAGCTTGTTACATCCACACACAGTCGACGAGCGCACTAGGCGGCACAACAGCTGTAAAGATTTGATACGACATGCTCCATCCACGCTTTGAGCTGCGCCGCGTCGGCTTGGGATGCTGTAGTATCATGTAAGCCATGGACGGGACGTACACCCGAGCAGCAGTGGGAGGATGCCGCCGGCGCCGACTTGCTTGTACCGAATGTACTCGCAGATGCGCGTGTCGTCGCCATCGGCCGTGACTTCGACCCAGCACATGACGTGCCACTGGAGCACGTCGTGTTGAAAGACATCGCTGAGCGGCGTCTCGAGCGATCGGTAGACCACGACGTGCTTGTCGGGAAAGTCATACCTACGCCAAAGTGGATGAACCAAAGGGCAGGGGTTCGATACCGGTGTTGGACAACGTTAAGCGCAAACGGCGCAGTGGCGTCGCAAAAGTAGATGCGTGTGCAGCACGTGGCCCGATCCAGCGTCTCGAGCCGCTACGCCATCATCATTGATGCATAAGATGGGCTCGAATAGTGCAAGAAGATCGTCCTCGTACTTGGGCGATGCGCGTGAGTGGAACGTTCTGCGTGCTCTCGCCCGTCAGGCGACGCCAAATGGCGTCCGTGGCGTCACCACGCGAGACGCCGTGACGCCGCGAGCATCGAATGACGTCGACGTGCGCAATGTCCGTCTGTGACGCGTTGAGCGTCACGTGGCATTGGTTCTCGGACGCGGTCGCGCGTTCCTACGAGGGACGGTGATGTCGGCTCGAGAGACACAGGAGCGTATTACCCACATGGAGCGTATCTCGCCGTGCACGCCTTCGTGCAAATGCGCGTGGAGCATGCGGTAGATGCTTGAGCGCCGATCGCCTTTGGCGAGCGCGAGGTTCTAAGGAGAGTGAGCCAGCGGCCTCATGACCGAGATGGACCGACCATGTGGAAGAGCGTGCGCTGGTACGACATGGCGAGGTTGATTTGATGGCGAAGGCTCTCGCGAAGACTCTGGTTGAGGTGCATGGCGGCCGCATTGTGCGCTTGTAGCTCCTAGTACGAGGCATTGCGCATCAACCGTGATGGGGCGACGAACGTACTTTGACATTCACCGACCAGCGCGCAATGGCGTCGCGCTCGCTTGGTAGCTTCTTTGTACTACGTCGCTCTTGCTGGCGCAGGAGAAGGCGGTCACGGTCGCATGCAAGCCGATGCGCGAGCTGCGCAAGGTTCGTCGCTTCGTCCTTGAGCCGCTTGCGGTACTGGACCTTGCGCGCTCGCTCACGCCGCTTGAACTCTTCGCTGCTTCGAACACCGCTCGACGCATATGCAGCATCGTCCAAAGCGTCCGGGAAGACCAGGAGGTCCAAGAGCGTGCTGTCGTCCAGCATCCAAGCTCCCGTCTCCATCATACTGGGTGTGAAAATGCATGGCGGGTTTAGCGCGTTGAAGCATCGAGTCAGCACGTTTAAACTGCAAGTGGCGTGATTATACTCGGTTCGACGAGGGTGGGTATACCTTGGCCTCGATCAAAATGACGCTCGTCGAGACGATGTAGGACGCAGTGCTCTTCTATGCGAGGGTGGCCGCCGTCGAGTAGGAGGGCGCTTGTGCCGGCGCAGTTGCATACAAGTTCCTTTGTCGTTGCACAAGCGCGACCAGCGTTTAACGCACGTACGTTGTACATAAACGTGGATTAACCTCGTAATGTCACGAAACCGCGCTGATTGGCCAACATCGGCCAATCAGAACGTATGTTACTGCTCCAGGATTGCCGCCATGTGCGGCAACCAGTAAAACACACGCACAATAATAAGTGTAGCAAGTTCTTATAGTTGGATTTTCCGATTATGTAGAGGCGCCAAAGAGCATCCTCGTTGATGGCCTTTACCAGCCCATCTTGGCCCTGCCGTTTTCCATTCGGACGGGAAGCTTTCGCTTGGTCGGGCGGAGCTTGCCCTCTTGGTTGGACTCGTAGTCGAGCTTCCGGAGCACCTTGTGCTTCTTGCCCTTTGGCTTGAGGTTGTACATTTCGACGTAATCGACTTCGTCCTCGTCGTTCTCGTCCCTCTTCTTCTTCTGTGCCGCCTTCTTCTTGCTCAACTTGCTCAAGATTTCGCTGTCGTCCTCGGTCTTGGTCTTCTTGACCGGCTTTTCCTTCTTAGGAAAGTTGCTCTTGTCGCACAAAAGGGCCTCGACGCTCGCAAGCACGGTCGGGGTCACGGGCACAACGGTTGGCGCCGCCGTCCAATGCTCCGGCGTCCATGTGCCGCAGTTGTCAGCAGCCATCGACGAGTCAAAGACCTCCGTTTTCGAGGCGCTTGTCGCAAACACAAGGGTCTCGCACTCGAGCGACACCTTGTAGCCCGGAAACGAGCACCGGTCAAAGACGAGCGTGCCCAGGTGCTTGAAGCCGGCGCTTGCGGCCGCCGCGATAAAGTCGGCGCTTTGGCCCAGCGGGCACGAAATGTGGATTTGGCCACTTTCATCCGTGATGCGCACGTGCTCGAAGAACGCTTCGGCGTCGTCAACCTTGGGAAAGTTCCACACGACGCAGTCAAACGTGCCAAAGTCGCCAACGTCTGCAATCGCCGACTCGAAATGCACCTTGTTGTCGAGCTTCTTGACGCGCTTGGAGGTCTCGGGATGCGTCTTGAAGATCGTCGCCTTGGCTTCGGCGAGCATCACATGCAGCGACGCCACGTGCGACCGGATCGCCCACGCAAACGAGAGCGCCGGGTCCTGCACGACGAGTGTGCCCATGGTCGGCGTCAGCAGGACCGGCGACGGGCGGACCTCAAGGGCCGAGCGCGGGCAAAGCTCCGGGCGCTGGTTGGGCTCCATGTCCGGCGTGCCATGGACGAGGAGCTTGTAGCAGCACGGAACGCACTTCTTGCGCAGCGCGCATTCGAGCGTGCTCGTCGGCGCGAAGAGGCTCGCCGTGTTGCGCATGAGATTGCCGTTTGAATCCCAACGATTGGTTCGGACCAACGATTGGCCATGCGAATGGACCAATCAGCGTCCGTGTCGGAAGATCGCAACCGGTGACCGCATGCATCTTGCTCTGCACCTAGATCTGCCTGCCATCTACCCACGACGTACGAGCGGCATGGCCCATGCCGCTGGGTGTACGCAGACACATCGAGCCGCCAGAACGACGGCGGTGCCTGCGGCTGTACTGTAATCCATCGCATATCGAAGAAGACGAAGGACAGCTCGGACCTCGGACCATGGACCTCGGACCTTGGCCCTTGGAATGGATGCTGCTGTACGAGCGGCGCGTCGACCAGACATGGCGGGTGTAATTCCCGCGAGTCGTGTGTGCCCACTGGCCCCATTGCGATGCTGGTCGCAAAGAAGGAATGACCTGGGTACTGTCTAATAATGGTGCCCATGAAAACCATGAAAACCGAAGTTCGAAGTCAACGTGCAACTTTTTTGTCGTCGCCGTCGTTGACGCGGCGACTGCATTGCACCTCTCGTACGTTCTCGCGCAGGCCAGTCATGTTTGGAGGCACGGCCGTGACGGGCCAGCACCAGCTCCTCAGCGGCACGGCGCAGCTCGCCAAGAAGTACCATCAAATGAAGCACGGCGACGGCGGCAGCGGCGTGGACCGGCGGCGGGGCACGTCAGTGCTGCCAGACGAAGCTGCTGATTTGCGTACGCTTGGCGACGCGAGCGCGCGGGCGCTTCTTCAGCAGGACGCCGACGCGCAGACGGCATACACCAAGCTCACAGAGCACGACAAGATCGCGCTCTTCGAGGTCGCTACGGACACGTACTACGCGGTCAAAGGCGTCATCACGGTACACGCACTCCATTTATTCGTTGGCGCCTCACGGCTGCTGTAGGTGCACACGTGCCTCTCGGAGGTCATGCACATGCTCAACACCAAGAACCCCGAGCAGTGGAGCGATGTCATGACCCGGTTCCTCGGGCCCATGCACACCGCCTCGTGCCTTTGGTACCGGGACCGGTCCGTACGCAGCGATGACTATGCAACGTCCGTCCACACACTTGTGGTCAACCCCGCCGCGCTTAACACCGTGAGCGAGCGCAACGCGACGGACCGGGAGCCCCGGGAGTTTTGCTACCTTCGGTACTCGGACTACTTTGAGCTGGGCGAGCACAGCATTGAGCGCACGCTGCCGGAGGACGTGGTGCGACCGACGCTCCGCGGAGTCTCGGTCTGGGAGTCCGTGTCGCTGCTCGATGGGCCCAAGGATGCGACCGGCACCTTTCACCGCAGTGGCTTCATCGTCGAGCCAACGCACGTGGTCAACACGGTGCGTCACGCGATCTGTGCGCTGGCATCGATTGAACATGGAACGCGATCTAGGTCAAAGTGTCGTTCGTTCTAACATCGACGCTGGCGGCCAGTCGCGATCTCTCGCATCACTCGAGCAGCCGTCACTTGAGCCACGCCAGCTACCGCCTCGGGACAACCGCCGACGGCTTTTTCCTCCAGCGCCTCGTCCGGTCGACCATGCACCACTTTAGCAGCGCGCTCATGGACCAGCGCATCCCGACCGACCGGCTGCTCGCAAAAGAGCTCTGGAGCGATGGCAGCATGTGCTGTCTCTGCCTCAAGAACTTTACGCTCTTCCGACACAAGCACCACTGCCGCCTCTGCGGCGACGCCATCTGCACCTCGTGCTCGATCAACCGCCACCGGCCGACCGACCGCCAAGACATTCGCGTCTGTGGCGCGTGCGTCGACGGCAATGCCGCCAACATGATCCGCGCGTCCAGCAAGCTCTACTCGCAGGAAAACATCCGCGCCAAGCAGCTGCTGCAGGCGACTGCGCTCCCGTCGAGTCGCCACCACAGCGAGTTTCGGTCGGCGCGCGGCCACTCGGCAGTCTCGTCGTTGGGTCCGCGGCCCATCGAGACAAAGGACGGCGAGGACGCACATGGCGACCCGCTGCACTTTGCGAGCCAGCGCACGTTCGTGCTCGAGGACCCGGTCGAACTTAGTACGAAGCCGGACTTTCGCAAGACCAAGTCCGAGTCGCGGCTCAAGGTCGACCACGTCAAGAGCGACGCGTTCGCCTTTGCGGCGCAGCAGCCTGGGACGCCGCCGGCGCGCCGACACGACCGTCCGTACCCGCGGGCGTCCTACGCGCCGCGGGCAAGCGACCCGAGCCCGAGGCGCCACCTGCGTCGTCGTGGTTCCGAGACCACTTTCATCAGCACAAGCACCGGCCAACGCCCGAGCCGGTGCAGCGACCACCGCCCGAGCCCCGACAAACGACAGACCACCGACAAGTACCGCACGACGAGCCGAAGCTCCGGCACGAGCAAAGGCAACAGCGTATGCAGTCGAGCGCCGAAGGAAAACACCACCAGTCGATGTCGCCAACCGAAGCCCCGATGCAGCGCAGCACGTCGCCAGTGGAACGCTCGCCGCCGCACCCGGAGCCAGAGCCAGTGCCCTTTGACGCGCGACACCCCGCCGGCTACCATGCACCCTTCCAGGGACGCCACGCGACGCAGTGGAACGATCCGCGACCTGCTGCACCGTCGTGGACCGACCCGCTCACGCCGCTGGACGCAGACTACATCACCGAGTCCAGTCCGCTCTTGTATCCGCTGAGCTTTCGCAACGGCAACGAGTGGCCGGATGCGCCCGAGACGGCGTTCGAGGACCTCCGGCTACGCAAGGCGCACGAGCTCGACTTGCTTCGGCGCCGCGACGAGGTCCAGCGCTACGTGCAGCTCGCTTGCAAGGCGCTGGCGTGCCCCGTGGGCGCCATCACGGTTGTCGGCGGGTCGGCCGGCCTCCTCATCGCCAAGGTCGGCGTCGGCGCCGACACCATGCCTCGCCACGTCATGCTCGAGTCGCATGCGATCACGTCGCGGTCGCCACTCATCGTGCTCGACTGCCGCGACGACCTGCGCTTCATGGCCAACCCGCTCGTGAGCCGCGGCGAGGTCGGCATCCGCTTCTACGTCGGCCTGCCTTTGTGCACGTCGGACGGCTGCGTCATTGGCGTCCTCTCGCTCGTCGACACGACGCCCGAACGCGGCTCCGGAAGAGCGACCTCCAAGCCGCCATGCAGGTTGCCACCACGGTCATGCGCCGCTTCGAAGACATGGCGCTCCACGACGAGGGCCATGGGTATCATCCTCATGCGCACGTTCGCCAGCCGCGGGGCTATGGCCGGCCGGCGTCGCCCGACCTCGACCTCGATTGAGATCGTAGTAGTAGCATAGACGTCGTACAGTATTACGTGGCGTGGTAAGCAGCATGGAGCCGATAGGAGCAAGTGCGGCGTAATGCATGCGCTGCCATCGTGGGTGGCCTTTGGATGGAAATATAATGCAAAGATTTAATGCGTCGCCACGCCCGAATCGTGCGGTGCCAGATTTTTATTAAATTCGCACGCTGCCGCCTGTCTATGTTCGGCCGGTTCAAGAAGCGTTCGATTCAGAGTAGCAGTCACCACCATGCGCATCTCGAGCTACGACGCGCCCTTCTCCGCCGACGACGTGGACCTGCTCCATGCACAGGGTGAGGCGGCCATGGAGGACCTCTTGCGCTACGACCTCTTTAAGGCCCACGCCTACGCGCGCCTCGGCGAGAAGGACAACGTGGCCATGTTCGAGGTCGACGACGACCAGCTCTACACGGTCAAGGGCTCCGTAACCATCTACACACACCTCGCCGAGGTCCTCGACCTCCTCAACACGCGCCCGCCCGACTACTCGTACGTGCTCTCGCGGCTCCTCGGCGGCCTCCACGCCATCAACCGCATTCTGCATCCCAAGACGACGACGGACGCCAAAGGCCGCGGCGCCATGCTGCCGAGCGACGACGAAGACGCGATGCTCGTGACGTGGCTCGCCGTGAACGCAGCGACCGAGGCGGCGTCGGCCAAAACGGTGCCGGCCGTCTCGCGCGAATTCTGCTTCCTCCGCTACTCGGGGTATTTCAACCACAGTGAAGCCGGCGTCCGGCGCGTGCTGCCGGACGAGCCGCTCTCGCCGACGTCGATGGCGGTCTCGGTCTGGGACTCGATCGACTTCCAGCCCGTCTACATCAACGCGTCGATCGGGCGACTCGTGCGCTCGGGCTTTCTCCTCACGCACACGTCAACGCCCAACGCGGTCCAGGTCCATTTTCTGCTCTCGTCCGTCGGCGCGCATGACAAGACGCTCCTCCAGCGCATCGTCCGGTCGACGCTGCTCAACTTGGCCCCGACGATCATGGAGCTGCGGCTCTTCAAAGACCAGCTGCTGCTCAAGAGCGCCTGGGGCGATGGCAGCATGTGCACCATCTGCCTCAAAGCCTTCACGTTCCTCCGCCGCAAGCACCACTGCCGGCTCTGCGGCGACGTCTTCTGCGCCACGTGCTCGATCGGCCGGAGCCGTCCCGAAATGGGCGACAGCGTCCGAGTCTGCGCCTCGTGCATCGAAGGCAACCCATCGAGTACGTTCCAAAAAATCTGATTTTTTTCCATTTCAAGTCGTTGGCCCGGCTAACGACTCGATACTTCGACGTAGGTATGATGCGCGCCTCCGACAAGCTCTTCTCGATCGCGCATCGCTTCTCGATCCTCGCGCCGCCACGTCGCAAGTTTGCAGCCCCCTGGCCGCCGCGCGACGAGCCCCCCGCGACGACCAAGCCGTTTGACATTCCATCCAGTAGTAGCCACCAGCAAGGGCCTCAATGTGACCGCGAGTGGGTGTCGCAGCCTGGACGCCGGACGGACCGCCCACTGCCAGTCCGGGCCACCGACGTGTTCCGGAAGCAGTCGTTGCCGGAAGGCCGCAAGCACTCGGTGTCGGCCAAGGACATCCACATCGGGTCGGCGCCACCGGTTGGGATTGACCCTGTGTTTGAGAAGCGGTTTGAGAAGGGTGTGCACCCGCGCACCCACTCGGCGCGCCCAGTGTTCTTATCCCACGACGTCTCGTCCGAGGGCACATCGACGACGCCGCACTCGCCGTGGCTCCACGACCGGCGATCGTCGCCGCAGGACCGGCGGTCGTCGCCCCACTACATGAGCTACAGCCTCCCGCCCGAGTCGCGCTGGATGCCACCGACGTCGACACCCACGGAGAGCACGCCCACGTGGCTACATCCCGAGGCAAATCACACTGTCCCGAGCCCATGGACCGACGACGGGTACATCTACGAGAGCACGGGGTTTGACTACCCGCTCAACTTTCGCAATGGCAACCCGTGGCCGGACGCGCCATTGACGGCGACCGAAGCGCAGCGCCTGGAGAAAGCGACCGCGCTCGACCTGCTCCGGCGCCGCGACGACATGGCGCTCTACCTCAAGATCGCGTGCAAGACGGCGCAGTGCCCGATTGGCACGCTCTGTGTCGTCGGCGGGTCGGCCGGCCTCCTCCTCGCCAAGATCGGCGGCGTCTCAATGGACACGCTGCCGCGCCACATCATGCTCGAGTCCCACGCGATCATGTCGTCCGCCCCCACGATCGTGCTCGACTGCAAGGAGGACCTCCGCTTCGCCTTGAACCCGCTCGTCAACGCCAGCGACGACGTGGGCGTCCGCTTCTACCTCGGGATTCCGCTGACAACGTCCGACGACGTCGTGCTCGGCGTTCTCTCGCTCGTCGACACCAAGCCCCGGGACCGCGTCCGGAAGGCCGACATCAAGAGCTTGGTCCAAGTCGCCGACACGATCATGGCGCGCATTCAGGACACGGTCGGGCGCCAGCCCGAGCCGACGCCGGTCGACTTGGACATTGACTAGGATATCGCTCCTTCTTTTTATTTAAACGACCGTCCCAAACACACCGAGTTGATTGCATCCAGTAGATTCGTATGAAAGCGAATATGACGAATACTTGCTCGCTAAACGACTAGTCGGCTTCTTGGAGCTCGCGCGTGTAGTCGAGGACGTCCGTGACCGATGGCCGGTCCTGCGGGTCGGGCTGCAGCATGTCCCGGATAAAGTCGCAAAAGTCGAGCGAGAAGCGCTGGCCGCGAAAGACGACGTACTCGCCTTGGGCTAGAGACACGTACGCGTGGGCATGGGACAGGAGACGTTTGGCGACGTACGGGGCGGGAACGTCACCTTGCCGTTCATGGCCGCGAGCCGCATGAAACCCTAACCCCCATCATCAGCGAGCGACATGTTGGACACGCATGTACCTCCCGCGGCGACTCGAACGGGCTCGAGCCAAACGCCATGCAGTACCTAGGATACGTGTATACAGATAGGCATGGGAACGATGAGAGTGTCGGTACAAGATGCAGCCGAGCGACCAGACGTCGGATTGGCCGTTGATGCGATGGCCAATCTCGGGCTCGAAGAGCTCGGGCGCGCGGTAGGGCGCCGAGCACTTGCGGTTGGCGTCGTCTTGGACGTCCATGAGCTAGGCGGACATGTATCAATGTGTCAAGGCGTCGTAATTGTACCTTGCGCCGGTCGGTGATTTCGGTGACGAGCGGCGCGCACGAGCCAAAGTCCATCAAGATCGGGTGGTCGCGGATGCCGAGGAGTACGTTGTGCGGCTTCAAATCCCGGTGCGCAAACCCGGCTTCGTGCAGCGCGAGAAGACCGAGGCAGATGCCTTCGAGAATGTGAAGGCAACGGAGCTCCATGAACGGCCAGGGCTCGGCGCTGTTGTCGTTGGCGGCTTGGATCTCGTCAAAGATCGTGCCATGGTCGTGGTACGGCAGTAAAAAGAGGCACTAACTCGCCGATGCTTTTGACGCCACGATAGGAAGACGCGCGTTGTACCTCGTGTTTGCCATTCGAGCGGCTTTCTCCGTACTGCAGCAAATGGAGCAAGTTGGGGTGCTCCACCGTCTAGACCATCCAATTACAGCCAGAGAGGTGCGGACGGTGCCCTACCTGGAGCACTTCTCGCTCGATCGCGGCGTCGGCTTCGACCTCGGCCGACGTAAGCACGACGCGCTTGAGCGCACAGAGCTCGTTGGCGCCCGTCTTGACAAGAAACACTTGGCCGTACCCGCCCTCGGCGAGGAGCTGGACGATGCGCACGTTGGTGCTGCCAATGCTCATGGTTTCGCCCTACACCATTCATGTCGATAGGCAGGTCGACTCCGGGCTCGAACCATGTACCTTGGTCATGGCGCTGCTGGCGCTCGAGATGGTGTTGGAGAGCGACGAGAGGAGCGAGCCGCCCCACTTCTTTGCCTTGCGCGCCGTGTCGTCGAGGTTCATTTTCTGCGCGAAGTCGATGGCATTCCGCTTGGCGTCGTCCAAGTTGAGGTTCTTCGCAAAGTCTTTGGCCATTTCCGTCTGCTTCTTGAACTTCTCTTTTAGCTCAGTCGCCGAGAGGCCCGACTTGGCCTCGGCCGGCGACTTGTCGGCAAACGTGGCCTCCCACGCCGGCGCCTCGTACCTACAGAGAGCGTCGCAACCATGGCACTTGCTGCACGTAGACCTACTCTTTCTGCGGCTTGCGCGCGCTCGAGCCAGAGTTGGTCCGCGACGAGCCATCTATGAAGAAGACTCGCGTTGGCAGGTGCAAGAGAGTATCGTCGTACTGGACGAGCCCGAGCTGGTGCGCGACGAGGGCATCTCGACGGCCACCACGTCCTCGGGCCACACGACCTGCGTCTCGAAAGGCGCCGAGAGCACGATCTTGGCGTGGATCGCGCTCCGGCTCGCAAGCGGCACGATCGAATTCGGGTTGGCGTACGCGCAGTACACGCCGTTCTCGTGCTGAAAGCTGAAGTGGCAGTGGGCGAACGGGCAGGCCGCCTCGACGTCGCGGAGGCGAAGCGGCTCGCGGCCATCGGGCACGTGGAACGCGTTCGGGTGGCGTGGCGTCGCGCCGTCGTCGCCGAGGATGTCGTAGAGCACCAGCATGTTCGCAGGCGGTTGCCAAAATCGGCCCGTTTGGATCCGGAAACGGTGCCACCTCTCCGGATACTAGTACAGCACGTAAGATGCGCAGCGCGGCCGAGCTCGCCGCCGCCCAGCTGGCCGCGTACAACGCCAAGGACCTCGACGCCTTCTGCGCCTGCTACAGCGACGACGTGGTCGTGCTGAAGCTGCCCAGCACGACGCCTGCGCTGGTCGGGAAGAACCAGTTCCGTGCCAACTATGTGGCTACCTTTGCCAACCCCGTGATCCAAGCGCACGTGCCGACGCGTCTTCCGCTGGGCGAGACCCAGTGCCTCGACCATGAGATTTGCATCCGATCGGCCGATCCGAGTGAGCCGCCGATGGAGCTCATGGTCATGTACGAGGCCAGAAACGACCGCATTGTCAAGGCCACCTTCTTCTTCCGGCACGACGCGTAGCACGTATGAGGCGCTGGCCGCGTTTGGCCAAAGCGTCAATATGTGCGAGGACGATGGATTTGCATCAACCGAACGCGTAATAGTATGCAATCCTAGCGTCACCAAGGTAGCGTCGTCTCCGAGTCGACA